CCTCTCACGCTTAGCTCGTCGCTTTTCACCCCGGCGATGACCTCAAAGGTGTTCGTGTCCAGGACCGAGCAGAGCGAGCGCAACAACAATTCTTCACCTTCATTGAAGCGCAAATACCTCTTCAATATTTCAACTTCAAATCCGTGGTGCAACCCTTCATGCGATTTAAATAACTCCAACAAGCGTTCATTGTTTAGCAAAAGACCGCGAAGAGGAGTTAAACAACGGAAAATATCAAAGTTTATTTGAGTTAATTGTTTTTTACTTCGACTCGCTATGAACTCACACTCCTTCCGATGGGCTTTTTCGCACTTTCGAGAGCAAACCGGAAGACCGCACTTTTTGGAGCATGCACTTACATTTTTGGTGCTAAAGCAATTAACACAGAACACGCGATCAGTTCCCGTTCGTGGACCGATAAGTAATGGAGAGTCTACGAAAATAATTTCACCCCCTTTAATATCACGGTTTGCAAAAAGTCCACGGCCTCGGGTTTCTGAATACTTAATTGTCCACGACGAAGAATCACTTCGCACATCTGTCTCCAGTATATTCATGATTGATTCACTGTAATTAACATCTGTCCCAAACTGATGGCGCTTTTTATACAGATTTCAATGACAACATTCAAGCAGGCGTACTGAAGGTCATTACAAATTTTTTAGATTCGTAGATTAGACTGGTCGGTACGTAACTGCCTATACCTATATTTAAAACTTCTTAGGTAAATCTATTAATGTCAAGATGCGTTCTTCAAAATAAATATTTAGTTTAAAGCATTAAAGCAAAAACAAAGCGTCAACGCACTTTCCTTAACATTTATTTTTGTACCCAAATAAACGCTGCACTGTTTTCATGTTGTTATTGTATTCAATGAGTCAACTATTTTCAGCTTGTTTTAAATGTTTTTGGCGGGCCTTAAAGAATGAAAGCAGTGATTAAATACTCTTTATTCGTCAAGTCGATACCCGACGATTATTATTTTTCCGTACCATCCGCAAGTGTAAGCCCTCACTATCTTCGGGACCTCGAACGTCGCTCGTTCTGCTGGACCCCAGCGCATGCCGAGACTTTATTCCAAAGTAGTTGACGATGAATTATTTTTAAACTACCACTACTTGGGGTCATATTCTTCTGGTCGTTCTTGTCTGACATATGGACACACCCTTTGCAATCGGATATCCAATTAAAAAAAGAATAGTCCTTTGTTTCTAACATTGAAGCGGTAACATGAGGAATACTTATTGATCTAAATTGCACGTTTCATAGCTCAAAAATTACCGATGTAAATGAAGCACACCTTAGACGGAAAGCTGGCTACGGAAAAAAGTGACCTATCGCTACATGACTGATTTTTTGTGTAAAGTAGGCTGATAAATAGTGAAGTAGAAAAAGCTTAGACCATATAATACATGGACTGCTAATTGTAACTAAAATATGGTCAAGGACATTGCCTGGGTATGTGCGTATCAGGGTAAACGAGTCTGTCCGAAATTGTCCGATGAGACACGATTTGAGGCTGTCAACCTATAAATTAACAAACGTCAATTAATTTATGGCCTAGATATGGCAAGAAAAGCAAACCTACTCTTATTTGTGGACGTATAGAAGATAATCAAGAGTATTTAAAGCTTCCCGTACTACGCGGTTACCATAAAAGCTACTCTATGCGATCCGAGTGGTGTTCATACGACTTTAGTTTACCCTGAGATTCACATACCCACGACTACAGTGCCCTCTATCCGTGACCACCCATTTTGTATTGAAAGCATAGGGCTAATAGCAGTCCATGTACTATATGGTCTAAGAGAAAAAGTCATGTCTGCCAACCAGATCCCGTGGCTTTAGGTTGGTAGGGGTGGTCAAATATGTCAAATTTTAATAAAACTGCCGAATTTACGACTATATTTACCTCTGGTCTGGCGCCTTTATTTTGAATCCAAGTTTGAATCCGACAACAAACGGATGAAACTTTTTTGTACAGCTTATCAAGGAATCTTTTTTTGTATTTAATATTACTTAAGTATCGTAGGCCTCGGTCGTAACCATTTTACGCCAACGATATAAATTTTATACAGGGTGTTACATACAAGTATGTAAAAACAAATTTGATGGTAGAGGGGAGGGGATCAAAACAAGCACTTTTTTCCAAATAAACCGAGGGACCAACGTGTTTCGTTTCACCCTCAAAGAAGTGGTGAAATGTTCATTTCTTCTTTAATTTTTTTCTCAGCAACCATACGAGTTACATTGACGGGTGGCACGTCTTTGAAGGTTTTGGGGTATGCCCCTTCCAATTTTGAAAATGCTTTTTGCAAAATTCACCACGAGAGGGCGCACATCTAAATGGGGATGCGGGAAAAGTCTGATTTCGACGAAATTTGGTACTGGATGGTTTTTGAATATGAAAATCACGAATCTGAAATTAGTTTTTGAAAATTCGAACAAAAAATTCCACTGCAATTCTTGGGCGGATAACGAACATGGAGAGAATTCCACGAAATTTTAGGTGTGTCATCTACTTTCGCATGTAGTTAGTTGCACATGTCGCAAATAATACATCTTGAGAGGCTAAAAGAGGCCGACGAGCATTCGAAGCATATTGATATAAAATTTTATGAGAGGAACCACACCCAATTTAATTGAAATATACCTAGCAAGAGTAACCACAAACAGAAAGATGGAGAAGAAGTAAAATTGTAACATCCGTTAAACAATTCAATTCAAAGGTAAGACGTACACTACCTTTGAAACAATTAGTTATAAAAGTTTCAAAAGAGTACTACTAAAACGGCACTTACTAGATCAAGAAAGTGTGTTATATTAGGATTTGTTCTGATATCTTTGTTTTAATGATTTTTGCTTTTGGCACCTTTCGATTCATGTTTTAAAAATTATTTGCCCTCTAAAGCTCTAATGTTAACCTGAAAAGTCCGCATACAGCAATCGAAACGCTCTTCAGGACTTGCCAAGTAGCTTTCCAGAGCTTTATAGCACTACCAGAAGTATTTGAACCTATTTTCAGACCATCTTATAGGTTCCTGCTAACTTTGATAGAGTGCTTAGAAGACATTACAAACCTAAAGGAAAAATCTAATGAATTTGCGAAGTGGATTGAAGAGAATGACAAATGTTTTAAAACATTACCAGAGATATGGTAATTCTTTCCAGAGCACTTGAAGCCCTTTTTAGAGGTTTCTATGCTCCTACCGAAAACTCTTTCCTAGGCGTTTGATCTGGTAATTGTAGGTCCTACATTTCTATGCGCTTTTGAGTGCATTCTAGACTCGGGAATAGGTCTGAGAACCCTTGTTGCCTAGAAGACTATAAATAAATCTGTAAAAAAGATCCAGATTCGCATAGGTACCTACAGACACTTATAGCCCTTTATCAGCCTTGTAACCAAGCAACCGTTTTCGTATATGATTTCAACCAGCTTTAATAAACAGCCGGTACATGCCGTGCAGTTTACGATAGATAAGCAAATTTCTAGCTGGACCCAAAAATTCCAATTAACAATGGGCTTTACTGGACTACCCAATTTGGAAATCTCAGTCGGTAGCTACTCAGATGTGTTACAGCGAACCTCGTCCGATTAAATTAGAAGCGCGCTAATTAAAAACAAATTTCAATAGTAGTCCTAGATTTTTATGATGACCAGAAACCGTGAAATTAATTAAAGTGTGCATGTTAATATTTAGTAAATCTTTATCTACCGCGCCGATTAATTTTCAAGGTAGGTGAAATTGTAATTATAACGGGGTTTTGTTCTGCCTTACTACATCTTTTTAGTGGATTTTTTAAAAAATAAAAAAAATGTGCTATTTTTTGCGGTTTTTCCGACCGTCCGTCCGGACACACTTCTGCCGTTTCGAACTACTTCTAGGGGAATGATCCTAGAGTCCTGGAATTTTTTGCAGTAGGTAGCCTATACCTTGAAGGTGTGACAGACGGCCATCAAACTTCGCTATCTAAAAGGGCCCCCCCCCCCACGAATTATTTCCTGAGATGCTGTTTTTGAAAGTCAAACGTGCATAACTTTTACATACGAATTTTTAATAACTTGAAAACCTTTTCTGCTGGCAAATGCAAACGACGTAAATTTTTATGCATATTTTGAAAATGCAATACAGGGAGCTCTATTTAAAATACGAATGTTACTGTCAACATCCAGTAAAACCGGAATTGAAACGATCAGGATAATATTTTCTTTTAGATACAATAATTCATTTTTTCAAAAATTCATCAGGTTTCCCCTATACCATCATATTATTCATATATTTCTTTTTAATTTTGAAAGATATAGCCTTATTTTCAACAATGCGGTTCTAGGTTAAATAGAATTACAAAAAGGATACTTTCGAAATGCAAATTGGCAACTGATTTATTGCATATAGGGTGTCCAAAATGTGATGACCAGTTTCGTCATCTTTTTAAGGTTGAAGTTCGTGTATTTTTTTAATGGGCGTTAATTCGCTATCACTGTTGCTATACTTTCTAACAGTTTTCTTGATGTTAATCCATTGTCGTCGCCAAAACACGTTTAATAATTTGCGGCCAAATTTGGTATAATGGTCTTCAACTTATATGAGGCTTTTATCAATCTTTTGCAAACTGCTGAAAATAGAGACACTTGGTTGAAGTCCTATCAAATGAGTTCGAAACTACCCACACATAAATTCATAAATAAGTTTACTTAATAGACCTATCACTGTTACCTTTTTTTACAACACTTAGAAAGTATTTTTTATTTCAACTTGTAAACAATAGTAAGGTAGTTTTAAATAACTGAATAGGTGAACGTACAACAAATTATTCTATTTATGTCGTGAAATGTGACAAAATACTCAATTTCATCAATATTGTTCCTACACTTGGGTATATATAGATATAGGGCAACCTATTAATATTAACACCTGCGTGAGCGTCGAAAGATCGTTGAAATTTATGAGTAACATGCCAAGTATTTAAAAATGTTATTTTTATTAACGTTTACTTACCGTTCCATAGGTATTTTGGATTATGTCCCAATATCCATACTAATCTGTATTTTAGTTCAATCGAAATTTGATTGCTGGGAGGGAGATAATTTCGAATCTGGCGCTTTAAAAACTTCAAAATTTCTTCGACGTCATCGCACTCGTCAAACTGGCTCACTCTGCTTCCCAGCACGCGAAAAAGAAGGCAAACTTTATCGTTTGATAATACAAATTTACAAGTCGCACATTTCCATTCGACATGACTTTCACTATCATACAACGGCAATGCGACGTCGCCACACTTTTGGCAAACAATTCCACTTATATTCGTTCCAAATTCTGTCGGGTCGTTACATCTCGAGCACGTACAGAAAAAATGTTTTGTTCTCTCCAAGTGAGTGCGTCTTACCGGAGTGCCCCAAATAAGCCGCGTGTAGGAATGGAATAATTCCTGACCCTTTTCGATAAATACGGCAGCCTTAACGATCATATTTCGGTGCTTATCAAAATTATGCATGGTGTTCGGCGAGCACGAATGATTCATTAAACTACTTAGGGGATATAAACCCCTTAAGCCACTTCGACCTTCTTCATTTCCGACGGTAACTTCAAACGAATTTGCGTCTAATACCGTACAAGTTAATCTCATAAGATTTTCTTCCTCCTCCTTGAAGTTTAATCCCAGCTTCCCTTTTAAGATATCTACCTCGTAACCGTGTTGAGCGCCATGGTGGGATTTAAGAAGGTTTAAGAGTAATTTTTTATTGTCGGCTAATAGAAGGGAGCGTATCGGTGTTAAACACTTCATCAAGGATGAATTTATTTCCTGGTAAAGGCACTCCCTCTTCCAACCGACCAAGAGCTGACATTCTTGAAAGTGCACGTCGGAGTTTTCGCATTTTTCCGAACAAATTGGTAGTCCACAGTTTCTCGAGCACGGATACAAATTCTCTTGGGAATAACAACTTACGCACACCATGGGACACAGCATACTCGATCGAGGGCCTAATATAATTGCATTATCCCGATATATTACCTCACCTATTTCAATATCGCGATTGGCAAATAAACCTCGACCGCCAATGTTCGAATTTTTGATTACCCAAGGCGCGTTCTCTTCGTAAATTTTGCTGCATTTCAGATGCTCGGTTATTAAATAATTAAGTTCGTCCATGTCTGCTAAATCACTGAAACCGTAACGTTCGACTACCGAAGCAATTAGGGATTAATCTAATTAAAACGTTTGGTTTGGCGCGAATTTCTTAAGGTCGCATTTTATCATAGGCTGCCAATTTCATAACGCAATCACTCAATAAGCAGATCTTAATTGGTACTTCTTACGTTTAATTAATATGTAACTTCAGTCGTCTTGACAAATTGCCACTTTTCCCATTAATAGTTTTATTTAGCGCCCGAAAAAACACCAATAAAAACGTCAGGTTAATTTACATGTTTTCACTTTACTTCTGGAACTTACGTACCTACTTCGAGTTATCTTGAAAATGATCGAGCGTCTAACGAGCGCCAAATATATAAAATTTAGGATACCAAATTGCAAGGTATATGGATAGGATAATTCGCCCAACATTTAGCCACAGAAAGTAGAAACTATGTATAGGTAATGTGAACGGTCTGCACGAAAATACCTACCAGTACAATAAAACTATGATCGCTGTATTTTCCTATCTCGCACTAATTGTTTGGCAGTTTTAAATTGTTTAACTTTTGGTGTCGTACATCGCCGAAATGTTCAAAACTAAGACAAAAGACAACAAAGTCTGATCGAAGTTTTCGCCAATAAACGGTATGGTTGTAAAAATCCGTGGGATTGTAAAGACTACAGAAGGTGGTGCATCTCTACTCGGCACGACGCTGACACATATACCACCGTCATCGGCGGCTGTGCCGCCTCCCCTCGTGTGGTCACCGTAGGTTAACAACAAAATATTGAAATAGCCATATTAATTTTTAAATACAATTTCTCAAATTAGAATTACTACATTACTTTTTAAAAACGGACCTTTGTTCTTTATATTTTGTGCTTTATATTTTGAAAGTGGCATCACTTTGAAAAAGATATAACATTTGCTGAGTGATCACAGCTTTTCTTAGTGTAGGCAATATTTCCAAAAATCGAAGTTTGTGGAGCATTTCATATTACTTTTTGGCAACCAGCTTTTACTCCCTATTTGCGACCCCGCTGATCCAAATAATGCCTGTTGCCTAAGCAAAATCTCAGGTTCGATTGCCGTACCAATAACTATTTCGCGTTTCATTTATTTGAACTGTTATCTTATAGTGTCTTTATCGTTCCATCACTAACTATCACAGTCGACATTGAATGTAGGTCAAGCAATTTGTAATTAAAGAACTTATTTCTGATGTCCATGAACTTAGCAGAGCAAGGTCAGCAGAACACAATCAAACATATTGCATAATTAGGTGCTAATTAAGTGCCCTATTCCCGAATTAAGTGCTCTTTTTTTTAAATTATGACATGTTCTGCCAGGTTCATATGAACTCAGCAGAGCACTACCTTAAAAACCCAAGAAAATGAAAAGTGAACTAACTATAATTAGGTGCTAATTAAGTGCCCTATTCCCGAATTAAGTGCTCCTTTCTTTTTAAAATCTTTACATGGTTTGCCAGGTGCATATGAACTCAACAGAGCACTACCTCAAAAAACCAAGAAAATGAAGAGTGAACTAACTATAATTAGGTGCTAATTAAGTACCCTATCCCCGAATTAAATACTCCTTTTTTTAAATTATTACATGTTTTGCCAGGTTCATAATTAAAAAAAAGGAGCATTTAATTCGGGAATAGCACACTTAATTAGCACCTAATTATAGTTAGTTCACTTTTCATTTTCTTGGGTTTTTAAGGTAGTGCTCTGCTGAGTTCATATGAACCTGGCAGAACATGTCATAATTTAAAAAAAAGAGCATTTAATTCGGGAATAAGGCACTTAATTAGCACCTAATTATAGTTAGTTCACTTTTCATTTTCTTGGGTTTTTAGTGTAGTGCTCTGCTGGGTCCATATGAACCTGGCAGAACATGTAATAATTTAAAAAAAGGGACTATTTAATTCGGGGATAGGCCACTTACTTAGCACCTAATTAGCACCTAATTATAGTTAGTTCACTTTTCATTTTCTTGTTTTTTTGAGGTGGTGCTCTGCTGAGTTCATATGAACCCGTGGCAGAACATATGTAATAATTTAAAATAAGGAGCATTTAATTCGGGAATAGGGCACTTAATTAGCACCTAATTCTGCAATATGTTTAATTGTGTTCTGCTGACCTTGCTCTGCTAAGTTAATGGACATTGTAAAAATACACCTACGCACAGTATTAAACTAATGACTGTAGTTTTTTCTTTCATATTATTGTCTTTTACGTATTGAAAACGATAGACCACTATGCGTTACTCCCTAAATACCTCAACCTAAAATAGTTTTGCAAATAAACAAGTCGATTAATATTTCGAAAAGTATATATTTTTAACCATTTTTTTAAGAATTAAAAGGAGGGGAGTAACCGTTTTCTACCTACTACCGCCCTTCTTTCTGACCCCTTATCAAAAGAGGGGACTGGAGGGGGGAGTGGAACTGATTTTATGCTTCATAGTACTCTACTGAAAGGTCTCACCGAAAGGAATTAATTTCTACCAGTTCTCCTCCTCGACTCCTTATCGTGATATTCCCTTATCTCCAGAACAGATTGTCGGAAGAGGTTACTCACAAAGGGCGATTGGGACATCTGATGTCAAAACTTTACCGAATACTTCGAAAACGGTTTGTCGGAGGAAAGTACTCTCAAAGGCAAAATGAATCGACTGGACGACACATATCTATTGGGGAAGTCGAAGCAAATACCTTGACAATGAAGTGTCGGAAAAAAAGTGCTCATAAAAGGCAAGTGGAACGTCAGGACGAGATATATCTATTGGTGATGTCAACGCTTTCAGTGCAAATATCCGCAGAATAGAGTGTCGGAGGATTTTGAAGGTATGCGAGGCGATCTTTAAATGTTTATGTGTAAAAAGCTTCCTCCCCATTAATCATCTACCAAAAAAGTAAGCGTCGGTAGCATGCGTGTAACTATCATTACACCCTGTATATTTAAAATGACACAGCCAATCACCGTAAAAAATCAAACTCTCCGCTTACCGCTACAAAATGGCAGACTTCTGCAGATTTAAAAATTTAAATCTCCTTCACAAATTCAAACTTACCGGTACAAAATGGACAATGTCCGGAAATTCAAAAATTCAAACTTGCCGCCATAAAATGGCGCAGCCAATCACACCGCAGCACTGTGGCGCTAGGAAAAATGGGGAGGGAATAATCAGGCTTTTACTACTATTATTAATTAATTGTAAATAAATAAAGCTATAATTAAATTTATGTTCCATAAGCTTCCATTCCCAAATGCCGCCACTTTAAGAAAATGACATAATAAAATTGTTTCCGCCACAGCATTTGTAGTTAATTTTCACATTTTTTTAACTCTTCATTTGGGATCCTGACCAAAACTATGTATTTGATACCAATTTATACCAAGCAAAACTGTGGGGAACAAGTACGTGGAAAACCTACGTAAAAAATTAGGAGCCATCTACGAGAAAGTTCGCGATAATATACAGTTAACAAGCGATAGAAAGAAAGGGCAGTATGACGTAAAGGCCCAAACTGGTAGTTATCAACTCGGAGATCCGGTTTGGTTGTTTCACCCCCAAATTCTAGAGGCCACGCTGGCTATTCCTGAAATTAGGAAGGGCCGTGTGGGCGAGAGCGATATCAAAGGGCCATCAAATCACCGGAGGTTAAAACTGAAGCTGATGTAACTCATTCTTCCTATAAAAAATGATACACCGGCGTTGGAGAATTTTCGAGAAGCTTTTTATTTACTATATAAGTTTGGTTTCGGTTTTAACATCGATGTCGAAGTGATAAATAATCAAATCCGCACTCGTGATTTAATTTAAGTGTTATAAATGTAACTGCAAGTAAGTAATCAATTGAACTATTATACCATCAATCTATTTGCAAACCGTAAATTTAGTGTTAGAAAAGGTAAAATAGTTATTCGCTAATGATAACTTTTTACTTTAACTTTTTGTGTTAGTTAATTTTATGTACTTAGGTACATAAACATTTATTTAACTAAATTCGCAACAAAACCTCATCCAAGTAACCGGTTTAGATGTTAAAAGTACCGTAAAGAACAAGTTTCAAAATGAGGTACCTAGCCCATTCTTACAATGAACTCCGACTGGATTAGTTTCATCCTACTGATTAGTAACGCATTAGCTTGCGGTAAGTTACATTATAATACATTGACAGTTTTTAAAACTTTGATCCAGACGAAACGAAATGCGTAACGTTGTCGTTATGTCCTGCGCTTCAAAGGTACGTAACAAACCCGACAACGAATTATACGGTTAGAAATGTCGAGAGATTAATTTGCGAAGTTGACGAAGACGTTCGAGTTTGCTGTGATCAAATGGCTATCGCTAATTTTGAAACGGAAAGCAAACCTTTTTATAAGAATGCAAAAACCTGCGGAAGTCAGGATCCTACCTACGAGTTCCCGTGGTTGGTCAGTTTTATGGGTTTTGGAGCGTCTATTTGTAGCGGTGCTCTTTTGAATGAACGTTACGTGCTAACTTCGGCAAGTTGCATATCACACAACGCAACGGAATATATATTTGAGTAAGTCTTCATATGCCCCACCTATGTTTCTAAACGCCATCCGTAGTATTCTGCTGGGGGATATCAACCTTAAGAACAATTCTTGTAATGAAACATATGGCGCACCTGAAGAATGCTTACAGGTGAAATCATTATCAATCGAGGAGGCGATTCCTCATCCACTGTTTAACGGAACCTTCAACAATGTGGGGTTGATTCGCTTAAATGAAAGTGTCTTGTACACAGGTGAGAAACATAGCAATCTATTTTTAACTTTTTCCTAACTCATTCAGTTACTTTGTTTTCTACTATCTACTGTTAAAAATTAAATTTTTGATCATTTCTACCGAGTTTGTACATTACTAAAAAAAGATACTTTTGGCTTCAGTTTCTTGACATGAAGCAAACCTGGCTATGGAATTAAGTCAAAAAGCGTAGCTTTATTCATTTCTTAATAAGTAGTTCTCAAATTCTGCTTTGCATGGTTTAGTATTTTAAGCTAATAAAAGGTATTATTTCTTTGTAGATCTCAAAGAAAATTCTCTTTCAGAGTACATTCAACCCATTTGTCTACCAAACGCTACATCCATTCGGCCCGCACTCAATTCAATGTACACCTCCGGATTTGCAGTTCACTTTGACCCAAAAACTGAAAGGGAGAAGTGGAAGAGAAATACAACGATAATACTAAAATCACTGGACACGTGCAAGGAATGGTATAAAAGTCATGGGCGCACAATAACCTTAAATGAACTCAACTTTTGCTCCATTGACAAGGATGACACGCCGCCGGAATTCGCCAATACAATCCTCGACCGTGGAGCACCAGTCGTCACTTTTCATAACAATCAGTGGTATGCTGAAGGAATAGTTTCTTTGGCTGAGGAGGAACGACAGAGGCCGATAGTGCACACCAATCTCACCTATTATGTGGATTGGATACATAGTAATATGAAGGATTAGGAATAAGTGACACGCAGGATGGCTGAAGATTTAATCCAATGTTGCAATTATTATGCTATATTATTTTTGCCTTAATCAAATGTGTTGAATCCAAACGTGAACTGAAATATACCTAGTGTTGCTTTCAGAACAAAAATATGTTATTTGCTTTCTTACAAAAAAAGCCTGTTGAGGGCCCAGAACAAAAGAGGGATAATAAATAAATAAATAAATAAAAAGAACAGAACTTGTCACTTAAAGCTGCATAGAGGCTGTGTAAAATCTATGGAACAATCCACCCGTTTTTAGAAATCGCTCTGTATATTAGGTGAATGAAATTAGCTTTTAGCGATAGTTCTGTTTGTCTGCTGGTGTATGTACCTATGTATGTTCCTCGAGACCTCAGAAACAGTTAAAATGTTGTTTCATTGGCTATTACAGTCGTTAAGATGGATGGTTTTTTTATTATCACAGCCTATACTCCTGTTTATAAACATGTATAATTAATTAATATGTAACTATTTTTGTGAAAAATATGAATAACCTAAAAAATACGGGGTTTTGGCACAGGACACCCCTAATAAGAATTGAACAAAGACTATCGAATAAAGAAATAAAATAGTGGTAGTTCCATTTGAAGTTATGACAGTTTGAAGTATGGAAATTTTACTATTTACCTATTTACGACTTGTCAAAGTGGAGGTGGCTTATAGAGAATTATTCGGAAAAAAAATTAATAATTTGGAAACATTGACAATTAACCAGATAGTGAATAGGTTTCTATGCAGAGGTTAAAAAATGACATCGAATCAGCTAAAAAGATACAGGGTGTTCTATTTTTTAAAAATCCGCTGTGTATCGCCACCGTAAAAATTGGACACCCTGTACATTCCAAAATAATTTCTGTAGATGAGCTCTATCTATGATCTATAGTTGACATTTGCACAAAAGGTTTTTTGATATTTTTTACCAGGTATGAGCCAAGAGAGAGCGATGCACTGTTGCAGGGCCCTGTATAATTAAGTCCAATAGCAAATTTAGACAGCTAAAGCAACTTCAGGAGGATTATCAATTAAAGAGAACACTTTCGAAACTTTAGCGATTTTAGAACCCTTACTGGTCTCAGAAACCCTAGAGGCTTAAAAAACTTTGAAGAGTCTAGTAATTTTTAAGGGCTTTAGGAAACCCTGGGTTTCTCCATAAGATCAGTAAGGTAACCGAATACTAACCCATGACATTAGGTTCGATCGCAGTTACTTCTCCGGTGACGCTCAAGGTCGTAGCCTTGGATTTTGACCTCGGAGTTTCCTCAACGTCGTTGTTTTAGACTTTGACCTCGAGTTTCTCCAAGATCGTTGCCTCGGGTTTTCTCAAGATCGTGGCCTCGACTTGGGAAAACCCCAAGTTCTAAAACGTAATTCAAATGTTTTGCTAACACTTAGAAACTATTCTATGAAACTACAAAAATTGCTTTAAGAGACTGAAAGTTTTTATCAGCCTGTAAAGTTAAACTCGAAAATGCTTGCAAGTTCTAAAACGTAGCTCGGGGCGATGCTCGGGACTATATATTCCATAAATAGTGAAAAACGTCTACATATGTTAATAAATTGAATTCCTTCTATCTTTTAAATTGTTTTGATTACTTTCTAAGTTTCAGCACAATATGGGTTTACAACTATAGGTTTTCGGCCTCATCAAAATATTACCCTTGAAGATAGAACTCCCCATCTTAACCCAGGTTAGGATCGTCCTAGAGTCCTGGAATGTTTTTTCAGACGGTCATCACATTTTGTGAACGGGGGGGGGGGGGGGGGGGGTCGTTCATGGTATTGTAATGAAAGGTCTCAATAAAAATGAATTGATTTGTATCAACCACACTTCTAATTATTTGACATGGTTTCGCGCTTTCATCAACATTCAACGGCGAACGCGACAATGACAATATCACTGAACCTCGTTCAATACAATTAGTGTCAATTATTGTAAGCGCACAAGGAGGAGATGCGAAGAGCTCAAACACCACATTAATAAAACAAAGAAGCTGATTGCATTATCGTTTATTTATTGCGAATAAAGAACCAAACTTGTCTTGCACAAAAGAAAACACAAGTTATTAAAAATAAAATGCTTAACGCTCAATTTGACCGTCTATGAAATTGTGCCGCACGGCTTTAACTTAGTTAACTTTGGGAAAACTCCAAGGTCAAAATTTGTGTTTAGTTTCAGTTTTAAAATCGATGTAGATGTGATAAATAATGAAATCCGCACTCGTGGTTAAAGTGTTATAAATGTGACTGCAAGTAAGTAATAAATTGAACTATTATAAATCAATCTATTTGCGATCCAATTTAAATTTAGTTTATCGTTACTAATATTACAAAAGAAAAAACAGTTACCTATTCGCTGATGATAATTCAATTTTACTGGTGAGACGCGTTCGTTTTTATAATATGATGTTGTGATTTTAGGCCAGTAAATGACCGTTTTGGCGTGTAATTTTTCGCGCCTAGACGGATTTGCTTGAAAATTTGGATTTAGGTTCCTCTTACCCTCTACTTCAAAGGTGAACTTGAGCCCAGGGTTGCTTTTACTTCCACCCCTTCTCGGGGGGAAAAAAAGATACGTTCAAAATAAATTGAGTAATTCTAAGCAAGTTTTGTTCTATAAAGTTTTTTCACTAAGTCTAGTATTCGAGTTATTTGCGAGTGAAGATGTTCATTTTTCAACAAAAAAACCAAGTTTTCAAACGGTTTTCGCAAATAACTCTAAAAGTAAGTATTATATCGAAAACAGTATTCTTAGCAAAAATATACCTTATAAAAAACAAACAAAATGGTCTAATATGAACTCTATAGACCCTGTAGAAGCAAAGTTGTAGCTCATGAAAAGTAGGTTCTCATTCGTCAAATTCCAAATCGAGTACTTCAACGTGAAATAACCAAAAAATGAAGCACTTTTCGGGGAAAACTTATGAATACTTTTTTAAAGTGTTTGAAAAAACCTTTCTGTCGTTTTTAAGAAAAGTTCCTAGCATCAAAACTAAGTGAGTTACGCTCACAATAAAGTTGGTCCCTTTTCTTTGGTTAAAAAAAATCGAGGAAATCACCCCCTAATAATTAGCACCCCAATTGTAATTAAGCGTTACCGCTTTACAGTTTACTTTTTTATGTATTGTTTATATGATCTGTAAGTTTGACCGGTGCAAAGTGCTTATTTTTGAAGAAATGTAGTTTTGAAAAAAATATTGAAATTTTGAAAAATTGCTTTTTTTTCAAAATAACTACAAAAGTATTAGTGATACGAAAAATTTACAAGAATAAAAAAATGTAGCTTTTGCTTTTCTGGGCATTTTTCTTTTTTTTGTTTTTCTGTAAAACAAAAATTGGTTAAGATATGGCTGTTCAAAGTTTGCATACACTCGTCATTAGTGACTCATTCGAGCTCTTTCAACTACAACCCTTTCAAATATAAGGGTTTAAAAAAATGAATTTGAATATTCTTATAGCTTTTAAAAAAACCTACAAAATGGTTTTTTAAAGCACTTCGTAGCTTAAAAATTAACCGATTTATGTGTAAAAAACCAATCACGTATTTAATACATCCAAACGCGTGTACAATAGTTACTGGAGCATTGTAAGATACACATGTGCTATTAAGGCACAGACATTTTAATTTAAAAAAAAAACTGTATATATAGTATCAATGAAAAAAAAATTACTACAACTATTCGAATTTCTTCGCAAGGGTTGATTTTTATAAGGGTAGAAATTATGTGGTAAAAAATAAAAATAGCAAAGAAAACTAAATTTAATGTTACTGTATAATTAAATAATCCCAAATTGCTTGAATTTACAATTATATGATTAATAGGGGTAGTTTCCATCCCTAAAAAATAAACAGCAACCAACGGCACAAGTCCAATTTTGAAGTGGACGGTAAGAATAACCTAAATCCAAATTTCCATGCAAATCAGTGGAGTCAAAGTATTCTATGACATTGTTTTAATTATAACTATTTTAAAGGTAAGATTTAGGGGTTAAACTGTGATAAAATCTTAAGTTATGTTGTTTAATGTTAATTGATATTTATTCACTCCTTTAAAAGATGATTTGAATCAATTACCCGCTTTAATTTACAATTATACAATTTTTGTAATAGGGGTAGTTTTTTCCCCTAAAAAATAAAAAGCAACCCTTGGCTCAAGTTCAACTTTGAAGTGGAGGGTAAGTACCTAAATTCAAATTTTCATGCGGTTCAGTGGAGACGAGGAAAATTACACAGTATCGCCGTATTCCACATTCATTTACTGGCGTATTTATTGGTTTTACTTTTTGTAACTTCAACAACCACAGTACCTACTTCCAGTACTTCCAAGTTCCAACTAGTATTAGTTTCTGTAAATGTAAATAAACATTTAAATAAATCACGCATTAAGTTCTCAACAAAACCTCATCCAAGTAACCGGTTCAGACAGTGCGTAAAGAACAAGTTTCAAAATGAGCCAGCCCATTCCTACAATGAACTCCGACTGGATTAGTTTCATCCTACTGATTACTAACGCATTAGCTTGCGGTAAGTTACATTATAATACATTGACAATAATTTTTGAGACTTTTCATCCAGACCAAAGGAACTGCGTAACGTTGTCGTTATGCCCTCCTCTTCAAAGATACGTCACAAATCCGATAACGAATTATACCCTTAGCAGTGTTGAAAGATTAATTTGCGGAGTTGACGAAGAAGTTCGAGTCTGCTGTGATCAAATGGCCATCGCTAATCTGGAGAAGGAAAGCAAACCTTTTTACAAGAATACGAAGACCTGCGGAAGTCAGGATCCTATCTACGAGTTCCCGTGGATGGTCGGTTTTGTGGCTTATGGGTGGTCGCTGTGTAGCGGTGCTCTTTTGAATGAACGTTATGTGTTAACCTCGGCAAGTTGCATATCGCAGAAGGAAAGCCTAAATCTATTTACGTAAGTCTTCATATGACCCACTTATTTCCTATACACCATTCGTAGTATTCTGCTGGGGGATTTAAACCTTAAGAACAATTCTTGTAATCAAACAAACAGCGCGTCTGAAGAATGCTTACAGGTGAAATCATTATCAATCGAAGAGGCGATTCCTCATCCACTGTTTAACGGAACCTTCAACAATGTGGGGTTGATTCGCTTAAATGAGAGTGTCGTGTTCACAGGTGAGAAACATAGGGGTCGAATTTTAAACTTTTTCCTAACTCATTTAGTCGCTTTGTTTTGCCACAATTATTGATGAAGATCAAATGATTCATACATTCTACTGAGTTTGTACATTGGTAGAGAAAAAGATTTTTTGGCTCCAGTTTCTTGACACGAAACAAAGCTGGATATGGAAGTCACAAATCACACTATAACTTTATTCATTTCTAAAAACTTCAATTCAAGCCCCACGAATGTATGTACTCCTTTTTAACTAACGCACATTCCGCTGTGCATTGTCTGATATTTTTTGATCCGGTAAAACCGTACGCCTTTTATTGTAGATTGGTCTCACAGAGAATTTTCTTTCAGAGTACATCCAACCCATTTGCCTACCAAACGCTACATCCAATTGGACCGCAGTTAATTCAATGTACACCTCCGGATTTATAATTCACTTTGACCCAAAAACCGAAAGGGAGAAATTCAAGAGAAATACAACAATAATCCTAAAATCCCTCGACACGTGCAAAGAATGGTATAAACGTCTTGGGCACACAATAACGTTAAATGAACTCAACTTCTGCTCCATTGACAAGGATGAGACGCCGCTGGCATTCGTCAATACATTCGTCGACCATGGGGCACCAGTCGTCACTTTTCATAACAATCAGTGGTATGCTGAAGGAATAGTTTCTTTGGCTGTGGATGTTGCTGATCGACAACGGCCGATAGTGCACACCAATGTTAGCTATTATTTGGATTGGATACATAGTAATATGAAAGATTAGGAATAAGTGGCACAGGATGGCTGAAGATGTAATCCAATTTCGCGTTGAATCAAAAAAAGAACTGAAATAAATTCAGCGTCAAATTTGAAGTGTTTATCGGGAACGAACCTCAATACACTCGTCACACGAACCTGTCAATTTATTTCAAATTCTGAATAAAATTAAAAATTAAACGTCTGTAAGAGTTACGTGGTAGGTATATTCACAATTAAATGTCCATTGCTAACTATGACGCTGAACTTTATGCTTGATATATTATTGCTTTCAGAACAAAAAAATGTTGTTTACTTACCTTCTCACAAAATGATTATAACAGAATTTGTCACGGAATTGTGTAGGTTTTGGTTACCGGATTCCTGACTGCAATCTTGCCCCATCCTGAACAACCCTTGCGATTTCCTCATCAGGTAGTTCATCTTTCCGCAATTCATCAGCATCCCAGCGGCCACTTGTTTTCTAAAACAGTTCTTCCGCAGTCGATGGTTGTTGACTGCTCCCTAGTTTCGGCTTTTTTTTCAATGACAAGGTCCTCTTAAAAACGCGTCGGCGTTGCTGTGTAGCCATTTTTTACGATGTTCGATCTGAAAATAATACTCTTGGGGCTGCTCCAGCCACCGAGCCACTTGACCTTCGTGATTCGTGAACTGAAGAATCCACTTCAGCGAAGCATGGTCACTCCTTATCAGGAATCGGCAGTATTTCTCCCCATGTAACGCAGCAGTTCTTCTTATATTTGGAAAGGACTTTGCTGAAGTAGCCAATAACTCGTTCCTGGCCTCGCAACTAAGTGGGCATGCCCTTTTACAAATATGCGATAGTATGTGAAGAGTCTTGGAAACTCTTCAGGCCTGTTTATTTCAATAAATAAATAAATTACTTACGAGGGACTGGCGAACTCATCACTGCCTGCAGTTTCTCAGGGTCAGTGCTCGCCCCTTCATTAGACATCACGTGGCTAAGGAAGGTCAGTCACTTTCTTCTTCTATACCAAGTGACATTTTATTACGTTCAGTGTCAGGTTAGCTTTTCTAAGTTTTCCAATGACTTAAATCAGATTTACCCAGTTCAGAAACAGGAAATGAGGAGGTGTGTTAGTGGTATAGACACTACCTTACGAACACGAAAGTGACGAAGTTCGAGTCCCGGGGACGTCAACAAATTGGCGTTTTTCCTTCTCGAGGTCGACTCACCTTCGTTAAAAATGAGTACCTGGGGGACCCTGGGGTAATAGTAGGCGGCTTTGGAGAGTAGTGTTGCCACACTACTTCCCTGGAATTCCTTCCAGTTACTGCCGTGATAAATCAAGTGGTCCATAACCACTTACCCCCTAAAACGTCTTCAGATGTTCTAATGTGGGGCAGGATTAACGATCCTCGAGATCGTTTTTGTATTGCTGTCATAGTTTTTTTATGGTCTATCGAAAAAAAATATTATCATGATTTTTTCACTTCCGGTTCTACCGGATGTCGATAGCAAAGCACGCTAGTCTTTCCACATGATTAACAAGTACTATGGTTGTAGAGAGCCTGATTCTAAACCACCAGGCAACTGATGCTTCATAACTGAACATGAGTCAAATCACGGCGGTGTACAGCCCCAGAACAGCCTTCGGGAATGGTCATCACATCACAGTCACAGCTTTAAGTTGAATATGTTTGCTCCAATTCATGTCAGTGTGATACCGAGATATTTCACTGACTGAAAATTGGAGTAGATTTTGAAATAGCATAGGAGCTCGAAGAACCCCTACAGTTCTTTTTTTGTGAAGACAACTAGTTCAGTTTTTGTCGGGTGGATGGACAAGGACTGTTCCCTTCACCATTCTTATGTTACTCTGAGTGTTGATTGCAACTGCATAGAGTAGCCTCAAATTTGCAGTTTCAGCAGCTGCACTGTCCAGCCTCGTACGACTTCCACCACACCATGATGGCGTTTCTATTGTTTCGAAGGTTGTTTTGTCAAAATCCCCTTCTTTGTCTATGAATGCTCCCAGTATAGACTGTTTGTACTGGTAGTCCAGCGATCTTGCTGGTGGGGGGTATGCGTGTTGGATAGGGTGCAGCGGAAACTGTCCTAGAGTTGCATCTATCGCACAATCTTTCAAGTGTTTTAAGGAGAAAAAATCCCCGACTGATTGGACGTATGTCTTAGGTGTGGAGTAATCACCTTTGCCAGGTTTGAGGACGAAAACAATTTTTATCTTCCTCCATTGTTTATGTATGTATCTGAATCTGAAAGCGATACAGTCCGTATTATATTCTCACAATAACCCCCCAGTCTCCATTGCAGGAAAGCTACTATTATGTGTGTGATGTGTATGCCGAGAGCGATTTTACCGCACAGGTTACCCTTGCCATGTTCACCATTTGACTGGCAAAGCAACCGCCCAGTCATTCTTCCTGGGAATGAAGGACGTTGCCCCCGGTCGGTTGGGGTATGGCGTAGTGGTGGCTCCGGGAATGTGAGCGGCTCTCAGTACCTCAGCTGTCTCCGAGAGGTTGTCCGTATAGGCCCATCCTCTCTTCTGAGGCTAGTTGTATTGTAATATGAATCCTTTGTTAGAGTTTTATTCAGGCGGAATGATGAGTAGGTGGATTGACAAAAGCTTTTCCATGCCTCTCTCTGACATCCTTATATAACCTTAGATTTACCCCTTCCAGTTGACTGTAGCTTTGCTCTTCCTATTGAACTGCTTGCCCAACTAAGTTTTTTGCTTTTCGAATACCCTAGTCCCTACATCACCAAAGGATGATTATAGGGTGTCAGTAGGGCTCAGAGGACATACCAGTTTAAATGAACCTCACAATGGAGTTGGAGAGAAGATTTCGTTCGTCCTGTAAATCGGCAGGGCTCGAGAGACGTCTCCAAGAGGATGCTCCAAGGAGATGTTTATGAAGGGGAATATCAGAAACCTTGGGGTTGTGATAACCTTTTTGAGCGATTCTCTTGCCGTTAATTAATTAAATTAAATTATTCTATGATCTGCCATAGTTGCTTCTGGGGTCACTTGTGTGTGTAAAACCACGACAATTCACTTTCGCAGAATTTATGGGTAGGGTTCAGATTCCGGTTTGGTTTTTTGAAGAGAAATCTACCTTTGTCCCGAGGTTATTAAAGCGTTTTTCGCGCAGGATTTCTGTATTATCTCGTATCAAAGGACTAGTCTAGGGACTGGTCTTGTAAAGGGTCTTTCATTACGAATGAATTGGCTCATCGACAACACTGGCCGCTGCAGCTGCAATGTTCTCATCACTTCGCACGTTTCGTTGTTTTTTTGGTGGCTTATTGTCTTGTAAAGTTAACTCACTTTCAAACATTTTCACAGTGCGGCGTATAACCTGCGCAGAGTAGGTACCGATGACAGCGACCCAATTCTCGAGTGAATAAATTTTGAGTAGCCACAACTGAGCTACCACTTTGGTAATATTTTTTTATTACTTCCAACCGATCGAGGGGAGTCAGACGCTGCATCATGAAACTGCACACTATACTAAATATAGTAACACCTAGAAATTTAAAAAATATGGATTAGAAACCGAGAAATCTCTATTTGAAAAACTATCACTCATATTGAAAGACCCTTTAGTAAGCCTAGTTAAGTAAATTTTGGAATGCGCTGCAGCACTTAGAACAACTACCTACAGATTCATGGTGTTACATCATTTAACGCCAAGAGCCACCCAGAACTGTATCTCGATACAGCCATCGTCTGTGTTGCGAATCGAGGAGTCAGTGTGGGGAACATTCTAGATTCTACAACGTTATCAGGGCGCGATCAAGTCCATAAAGAATTACTCACTGACAATAAGGAATAAAAGCTGATGTGAATCATTCTTCCTATAGAATAGGTATCATAATTATGCCTATGATGTAAATTTTGTAGAAGCTTTTTGTTTACTATATAAAGTTGAATTGGCTTTAGTTTCAGTCTTAACATCGATATCGAAGTGATAAATAATGAAATCCTCACTTGAAGTTATATCTTATATCTTTCAATATACTATATTATGGTTTATTGGTTTTACTTTCTGTAACTTCCACGGTCACGGCACTTCCAACTATTAGCGTTAGTTCCTGTAAGTATTAATGATTCATTTTATACATAAACATTTAAATAAATCATGTGTTAAGTTCTCAACTAATACCACATCCAAGTAACCGGTTTAGATGTACGTAAACAACAAGTTCTAAAATAAGCTAGACCATTCCTACAATGAACTCCGCCTGGATTAGTTTCATCTTACTGATTGGTAACGCATTAGGTTGCGGTAAGTTATATTATAATACAACAATGCTTGAGACTTTTGCTCCAGACAAAACGAATTGCGTAACCTTGTCGTTATGCCCCGCTCTTCAAAGGTACGTCACAAACCCGGTAACGAATTTGGCGCTTAGAAATGTTGAAAAATTAATTTGCGAAATTGACGAAGACGTGCGAATTTGCTGTGATCAAATGGCCATCGCTAATCTTCAGAAGGAAAGCAAATCTTTTTATGACAATACGAAGACCTGCGGAATTCAGGATCCTACTTACGAGTTCCCATGGATGGTCGGTTTATTTGCTTTTGGGAGGCCGCTTTGTAGCGGTGCTCTTTTGAATGAACGTTACGTGTTAACTTCGGCAAGTTGCATATCGTACAACGGAAGCTTAGATCTATTTAGGTAGGTAAGTCTTCATATGACCGACATATTTTCTATACGCCATCCGTAGTATTCTACTGGGGGATCTCAACCTGAAGAGCAATTCTTGTAATCAAACAAATTACGCGACTAAAGAATGCATACAGATGAAATTTTTGTCAGTCGAAGAAACGATTCCTCATCCATTGTTTAACGGAACCTTCAACAATGTGGGGTTGATTCGCTTAAATGAGAGTGTCGTGTACACAGGTGAGAGAAATATATAGGCTTTGTTTGCACCATTTTAAACTGTTTTACAACTGCTATTGATAAAAATCAAATGTTTCATAATTTCTAGTGTCTAATGAGTTTGTGCATTGGTAGAAACATAGTATATTCTTTACCAAAGACGAGAAGTGAGTTGCTGACAAGCCGAAAGTTTTGCGAAAATTTCTACGTGCCAGTGCATCTCATTCGTCCATGGTGAACACTAAAGTTGTTATATTAGTTTGTTTGTGGTTGTATATACACTATACAGTGGTATTTATTAAGAAGTAGACATAGGGATTTCTGTGTATTGTGTTTCCCTACGTCTATTTTTAAAAGGTAAAGTCTCTTCTGTAGGGCGCCTAATTTTATGCATCCAAAATAACTTTTTACAACAAATAAACATCTGGCTGTCATATTAATTAGTTTGAATATTGTTGCTTTGGCGTAACATTAACATTCCCATAAGAAAATTAAAAAAACTCACCCTGTACAAAAAGAAGCAGAAAAGCGAAAAAGAAGCAGAGAAGTAATCTTTTTTTTATACGTACGTCAACTGTGAACATATCAAATGTAAATGCAAAAAGTATTGTTTCGTGGCTAGCAGCAGAGAAGCGGAAAAGGGGCAGAGAAAGTTTACCTCTCTGCTTATAAAACTTCCGACTTATCATCGAAAACTCACTTCTCGTCCTTGGTGAACAATATAGGTAATATTTTGAGTCCATTTTGTTGACATGAAACAAGCGAGCTGGCTATGGAATTAAGTCAAAAACTGCACTGCAAATTTATTCATTTCTAAAAACTTCAATTAAAATTCCACCTTGCACCTAGCCTGGTACCAGAGGACCCGTGCGGTGCGCCGTAATGACCAGCTTCTCTTTGTAAATTGTCTCACAGAGAATTTTATTTCAGATTACATTCAACCCATTTGCCTACCAGAGGCTACATCCAATTGGCCCGCAATGAATTCAATGTACACCTCCGCATTTAACTTTGACCCAAAAACTGAAAGGGAAAAGTTCAAGAGAACTACAACTGTAATTCTAAAACCACTGGATATGTGCAGGGAATGGTATAAAAGTCATGGTCACACAATAACGTTAAACGAACTCAACTTTTGCTCCATTGACAAGGATGATACGCCGCCGGCATTCGCCAGTACAGTCGTCGACTGTGGAGCACCAGTCGTCACTTTTCATAACAATATATGGTATGCTGAAGGAATAGTTTCTTTGCCTACGAATGTTACTGATCGACAGAGACCGATCGTACACACCAATGTTAGTTATTATTTGGATTGGATACACAGTAATATGAAGGATTGGGAATAAGTGACTGAAGATTTAATCCAATGTTGCGCTGTTATTATGCTCATTATATGTTTGCCTTAGTCGTGTACGTCGATTTCAAAAAAGGAATTGAAATATATTGTTGCTTTCAGAACAAAAAAATGTTGTTTACCTTCTTACAAGAGCAAACTTTGTGTCACAAAAAAGTACAGAGGTGCTCTCTGAAATCTACGGAACCATTCACTTGTAGTTATAGAAATCAAACAATAGGTAAGAGGTATGCACTCGTCGCTCTGTATACCAACAGAGATACTGGCCGCCATGAATACATGAACACCCAGTCTACCTAAATACCTAGTTTATTGATGAATTTTGATGAACTTTTCAAGACGGTTGTTTTTATATTTCGATATAAACGATGAAAATTTCAACCATCAATTTCCATTTATAGATAAGATTTTATCGAAACCTTCTGAAAATCGTGTGGGATTCTTCATACATATTGTTTTACATTTACGTAGGTATATACGTACCGCAAATTAAAAACATTGAACCATGATCGCGGTTGTGGCTACTTGCGGTTACTTTTGGTTCTCAATTAATTATGAAACGCATTCCCGCCAAACCTATATCTACCCTTAACAATAATAAATTATGCACAACTCTTGTGCGGATAAAGCGCATTTTTTTAAACCGAAATAGGTTTTGTTAATTTGTTTTGACATCACCAATGGATATATTTCTTGCAGACGTCTCAATCGCCCTTTGTGAGTACCTTCTTCCGACAATTCACTCTTGAGGTACCTATAAGGGAATATACCCGATCACGATAAGAGGTCGAGAAGGAGGGCTATGGTTGGTAGAAATTAATTCCTTTCGTTGAGAGCCTCTTATGAACTAGACACTAGGGTACCATGAAGGATAAAACGCGTTTGAAATTTTGACTCCACCATTAGTAACATCTTGTCGAGGGGAACTACATTCCCTTTGTCAACACCTACTTCCGATGTCCCGATCACCCGCAATTCGAGTTTGAAGTTTTGACTCAACAGTCATTAAGATTTTGTCGGGACCGACGACATTCTCTTTGTGGGTACCCACTTCCGACGATTAGGATTCCTCCAGAGCAGGGTGAAGACTCTCTTGTGCTTGCTATACTCCCGCATGTAAGATGATAGGTTACATAAGTACTTGTATTGTACCTATATGTTAACGATGACCAGGGCCAGATTGATGGGGGGTATGGGAGGGGGGGGGGGCCCCCCCCCCCTAACGCGTGCCATAGTCGGCAAAACTTATTAGTCGGCATTCGGCAAATCGCTATTCAAATTAAATTATAATTAAATTAATATTGGAAAAACCGGAAAACCGTTTTGTAGCCGCTGCTTCCACGCAAAATGAAGAAATATTGGTTATTACGCCCGCAGTTGCTGTAAGTCTCATTGATATTACGTCATTACGAGTATGTAAATCTATTACCTCATGGTTAAAGGTCGCTTAAAAATGTTCCGCAAATTTTTCTAGCCGTTATGTTTGCATGGGTATACAGGGAGGTCATTTTTAGCGCCTGACGAATATACCTACTTGAGAAATGGGCTGTTTAGACTATGACATTATTTTCTAATAAAAGGAATTTGTTTTGAATGAAGGGTCACATTATATTTTTAGATTTTTTTAATAAAGAATTACTATGGATTTCTATATTACATTTTAAATATAATATAATATAATTAATTATTCAATTGTCACGAGAGTGTCTTTTAGACAAAAATCGGTTTTGGATAGATTACTACTTTTAACTTAATAATAATACCGAGTGGCCCAACGAGAAGTATACAGAGGGCTTTTAGGGTATTAAATTTAGAAATTTCGAAAAATCCTCGAACACGTCAATTTTGTATTCGAGGGGGACCACTTTTGGAATACAAATCACGAACCCAAATCTACACCCCTCTACGTAGGGAGCTTAACCCCTAAAATTTTAAATGGAATCCTATGGTAAATGGCACTTTATTTGAAAGCCAATTTAATCGTGATTACTAATCTGTTTTGCTTTTTAAATTCTATTGATTCGTTTCGGAGAACTGACACTGACACCAATCAGGCGCGTACATAAAGAAAATTTTTACTCTTTTCAACATGGCAGGATGCAATCCGGTTGCCCCTATAGTTCGGTTGTAAAATCTCTACTTTATCCCGTTATTAAATTACAAGGTGCGTATTCTACAACGCGTAACGATGTCGTTACGCAGCGATTATCGTTCGGCAACCACTTGCTCTATTCTATACGCTAAAATAGATCGTTTCGTAACAAAAATATGACAGTAAATTTGCGATTTTACGACAAGTCCTAGCCACTCGTTGAGTAGATTTTTTAATTTATTAACTTTGGAATTTTTTTCCTAGTTATTTTTTAATGAAACCAGGCACAATTTTTGCAGGTTGTACATAGAAAAATGTCTTTCCAATAACTTAATAAAAATTTTAAGTTGCTATTTGAATACCGCTATTAATATCTTTAAATAAACAGTGTAGTTTATATCGAAATTTTATAAGCATAATCATTGTTAATTTATCTATGAATAAACAAGGATATGATAAAAAAATTTATTTGTTACAAATGCACGCTACGCCCCTGGTTCATGTTAGAGAAAATATGACCGTAGCCACCACATAGTTGTATATAAGCACAACCGTCTATAATTACAAGCCTTGCTGAGAATTATGGCAACACTGCATGGTAGGCCGATTTCCTAATTCAACTTGGCAGATTTCAGGTGTATTTTATACGTGTTTTGGGTGTAATATTCCTATGTACCTGTTTTAACAGAGTGGAGATTGCGACAATTTGTGTTACTCCGTATGGAATGAACAGAAATTATTATTCAGGTAAGTTGCTAAACGAAATACATCGATTTGTTGTCATAACCTCTAAAGCAGGCTACTCCTTGCTGGACCCTTTTCAAGCACTTGTATTTGTGTATTTGTTCAAAGAACCTGTACAAGCTCAAATATGACCTACACACTACGTGGTGCGTAAGTACGGTAAGTGTTTATCGTGAAAAAATACAATTAGTTTGTATTTCAGGTATTCTAGCACGGACATGTCAAATCGATTTTCTGAAGGAACCTTTCAACTTATTCCCAAGAGTTCATGGTACGGGAATTTGAAGTCTACGGGGCTCCCCTCTTTAAAAGCTTCGTACCTAGATCCGCTGGAGTAGCGGCTGGCTTAAAGTCTGCCATTCCGAATCACACCTGGTCGTTGATAAAATCTCGCTGATGCACAGCGATTTACTGTCCTTTTACCGAAATTAAGTGCTCAAGCGTGTGCTTCACCTCGACCTCTTGCGACAGAAGTTCGCCAATTTCGGAGATCTCGATGGAAAACACATTATGATGCAGTTACCAATTTACAGCGTTCCGAATTTTAAAGTCAAATAAAAATGTTATTATCCAATTTTGTAAATAAATAATATATATGCACAATTGTAAGCTGCCTAAGTATCTTTCTTCTATATTAAAACCGCCAAGGCGAAACACAGGAGAGAGGAAAATGCCATTTTTCAAGAGCAACAAGACGCCATTAAAACATATCGGCCCACCGATTGACTTTCGAACAACGTTGCCAAACTTCTCAGCATGGCTTGTAATTATAGACGGCTGTGATATAAGCAAATACAACTCTGTGGTAGCCACTGAGCTGTAAATAATAAACATAACCTACAGGCTACAAACGTTCTACTTGTAAATCTAAATAGGTAATTATTACACATTTGCAAAACTGATAAGATAATTTAGCTATACTAGGTATACATATTCAAACCTAAGTTGCTGTAGTATAATTATGTCCATTGAGTGCCATGTTATCAAGACGAATTTTATTGTTATCAACATCCCGAGTACATGGCTATGAATTCCTAGAATATGCCAAAGATGATATTAATAAACTGCTTCGAGCGTAAGTGCTGAACCACTTTAATTAGATGAGAGTAAAGAAATTTACTTACAGCAATAACATTACAAATCTATTGTTTATTCCATATGCTTTAAAGGACCACGACTCATATTTAGCCAAAGTAGACGGGGTGCTTTCAAAATGGGGCTATAAAGTAACTGGGATCCACAGTGGTGATCCGAAGGCGTTAATTCGAGAAGCAGAGGCCATTTATGTTGGTGGTGGCAATACATTTCGATTATTAAAGACTCTCTACGACTATGACTTAATTGAGCTTATTCGTAAAAGGGTCTTGCATGAGGGGTTAATATACTTAGGAAGCAGTGCAGGTAAGATTAAAGGCTGCGATTAGAAGTGTCATTACTTATTATTTAGGTACCAATGTGGCCACTAGAGGGATCCATACAACTAACGATATGCCAATCGTTTATCCACCCAGCTTGGATGCTTTAAAATTGGTCCCCTTTAACATCAACCCCCATTACCTGGATGCCGATCCCAACTCGGTTCATAAAGGAGAAACGCGAGAGGAACGAATTTTGCAATATCAAGAACTTCCAGAGGCTGGTGTTGTTGTAGGACTTCGCGAGGGTAGCATGCTATTAATTGAAAATGAAACGATGACGCTAAAAGGAATAAGCAAATCTCGCCTCTTTATACCGTAAGTTACCGCATCGATTTTATGTAGATAATATGAAGTTTATTTTAGGGGAGAAGATCCTCGGGAAATTGATGTGGGAGCTGATATCAGTTATTTGTTGAATTAACCCATACATAATGTAAATATTGTTAAAGTTATGCAATATTTTATTCCTATCAATTATACAACTATTAAATTTTTCATATTTATCATTCGCATTTGTTATAATTAACAGTGAATAAACAGAGGGTACCAACGTGATTCGTTTGGGAGCCACTCTCAAAAATGCAATTCTTCTTACACAAAGACTGGTGGCACGTCTTTGAATAGGTTTTGGAGTAGGCGCATTTCGATTTTGCAAAAAATTTTTCAAAATTCTTGTTTATTTGAAAAAAAGTGCTGATTTTGATCCCATCTACTACCCCGTTTGTTTTACATGCTTATATGTGTAGAGGCCTATATTATCCGAATGCCCTGAAATCCCTCATTAGGTTGCAGGTGGACTCGCATCAGATTAAGTGCTGCTTAACTGTCTGAGAGTGTAGGTACTGCTACACCCTTTTCCCCATTCCTTCCCGGTTTTTGAGAATGCAACAAACCTCATGTTTAAAGCAGTAGTACCCTGGGGTTCAGAAGTGCGCCAGTTGGGGCCGCTAATCCCTATCTCTTTCTTCCATCTTTTTGTTTTGAACCATTGCGTTGTGAGCCTCTCTTGAAAGTGACGTTAACCGCATTGTGTCTATTTCGGTCTAAACAATAAGAAATTAATTAATTCAATTTTTAAGTACATCTAGGAAATTATTTACGAAATAAGCACAGAGTTGGTTTGTTTCATTTGAATTTGTATCTCGGTGACTATTTTTCCTTTTAGGATTGTTTATAATGGGCTAATATTTTGTTATGTACATTTTTCCGAGTTTGTAATTTGTTTATAATTTTATATTACTGTCTGTCCGTCCGTCTGTCTATACATGTGCACGATAACTTTGTGTAGTACTTTGTCCGATCGCTTTGCAAATTGATACACATGTTCTTGGGGATATATGAAAGGTCGCTATTGTTTTTTGGCTACGCCCAAACCTCCAAAAAGGGTTTCTCTTATCACTCTTGTTACAAAGAACATATGAATGTCTGATTTTCTGTGTTAGTAAATATTTCTTAAACTTCAGGCAACTATGCAGATGCAAAAAAATATTGCGCATGCGCATTACAACTTTTATATCTGCGCAATCCCAATTTTTTTTATTTGTTACGATATTAAAATCAAATAAAAGTAAAACTAGAGCCGAATCAAAAAATTTGTTTTGCGCATGCGCAGGCTTTTTTTTTTATTTGTTAAGATATTTAAATGAAATTTTGTATGTAGACACCTCGAATAAAAGGAAAACTGATACCGATCAAAAAATTTGTTTTGCGCGTGCGCAATCCGATTTTTTTACATCTCCGTTAGTTGCGTACCGATTTGCATGAAATTTTGTATGTAGGCAAGGCACCTCAAATAAAAGTAAAAGTAGTGCCGAATCAAAAAATTTGTTTTGCGCATGCAAACTAATGCCGATTCAAAAGTTCGTTTTACAAGCCATGCTGATCTGGTCGTACCCTTGGAAAACTTTCATAATCTAAGGGGCGTTCAAACGCTAAGCGTGGATACTGCAGCTGAGTGAGAGGGGAAAACTAAGAGGCAAGCGCTCTCGCTATCGCGCTTGTGTTGATCGCACTGCCACAGCAAATGTAGATTGTATGTGACCAACAGAAGAAACGCGATAGAGAGAGCGCTTGTCCCTTAGTTTTCCCCTCTCGCTCACCTGTATAGTAAACACGTGTAGTCCATTTCTATATGTCGCTGACGGCGACAGAGTATAGTGGACTTGGACCATAGAAATATACACAAGTACATGGTTTACTCTACCAGTAAAACGTAGGGTTTACTCTTTTTTGGAATCCAGTAACCACTGGGAGCAACACTCCTTCTCAACCACGCAGTAGTGAGTAGCTGGTAGACAAAAGAGCTGCAAAATTTACGCTGATTTTTGCTTAATTTTTACTTGAATTTATTGCACACGCTGTAAATTGTATTTGAATCTCTAAAAAAGTTGAATTAAATCTCTTTAGTCACAGACAGATTAAACTATTTCAATTATATTTTAATTGTGACTTGAATTCACTAACAATTTTTCAATGGTGAGTATTGAATTCAATTTTCATTTGCCCCCTACTCCAAATCCAGTCACCAAAAGACATGTAAATATTGTTAAAATACTTTATTTCTATCAACTATACAATTAATCATCATCATCCCCTACTTTTCTTTTCAGACTTCCGAAGATTTCAGACGGTATATTCTGTTTCTCAATGGGGATCTCCATTTCCACCTCTTCACCTTCCTCCTCATCTTCGTCAATATTAATCTCATCAGGATTGACCACTTTATCGCCAGTTTGCTTATCTCCCTGTGTCTCTCCACGAACGAACATAATATTGCCTCCTTTAGAGCCTGACGTTCCCACCATTTCTGCAGCTTTGGCCTCCAGCATTCTCATATCGTCTTTAGCACCAGGTGCCAAATCCGCTATCGTTCCCGACATTGAGCCTGCCGAGCTCAACATTTGTGCCGACATCATGTTAACCTGCGTATTATACATAGCTTGCACGCTACGTTTAATTCGCAACATTTCCCTCATCGTATCTTCATTGCCATGTCTAACCTCGAACTCTTTCCAAGTCTGCCAAAATTCTACCGTCACCCGCGGATCGCAAATTTGACTGCAATGGGCGTATATAGCTCTGGCGCGATCAATTTCCCCAAGCTTCGTTTCCATTTCGGCAAACCTCAGACACATCTCACGAGTGCGATCTTCTGGCAGTACTTCTATGGCATTTTCATAAATTTGTCGTGTTTTCGGAATACCGTAAATCTCCGCAGCTTTCTTTATGTAAATGTTGAATATGTCGAACATCTCTTCAGGTGGTACAGCAGTGGTTGCTCTCTCGTACACGGCCATTGCGTGCCGTGCCATTCCGTGCTCTTCTTCAAGTTTCGAATATAACAAATATAGGGGTTTCGCATACTTCGCCGGGCAGTTTTCCAAACACTGCTCAAATAAATCTCGCGCTCGTTCCAGCTTTGTACCGCCATAACGGTTCAAGAATTTAGTTAAGTAGGTGTTCCAAATATCGTAGACATTCGGCCATTTAAAAAGTGAAATTCCTTTCTCGTACGCCCGAAAGGCTTCCTCATAGTAATTGTGTTCTTCTAAGAATAGACCGTAATTAATTATAATTTGTGGTGTGGCGATTTTTAAATCAATAATCCGATCATAGACTGCTTTACACGATTTGAATGTGCCAAAACTCTCCTCCAGGTCGGCATACATCGACCACAGCTTTAGGGACTTGTACAGTCGTGCTTGAACAGTCTCATTATCATCGTGATACGAAACTTTTCTAGATGGCAACACAGTAGCCGTATGCATCAACTTTAGGGCTGCTTCATAATTTTCATTGCGCAGCTCCATTTCGGCCCAATTACACCAGACCGTTGCCAAATCATCTACTCTAACATAGGGAACTTCGGTGGCTTTCTTAAAAATTAATCTTCCATCTTCCACTTGACCATTGGACTCATAAAACTTCGCAAATTCGACCCATAACGTATTCAATTTGCCAACCGCCAGCTTTGGGTCAACTGTCTGAACTGCTTCGGTATAAGTATTGATAATTTCATGCGGTTTCCCCTCATACAACATGACTCTCTTGTGCCATTCTTTCACATTGTGAGGGTTCTGTCGCAGCAAAACAGAATTCAACAGCAACAGCCTTCTCTCCATTAAATTTTCGAATCGAGCCAAACGCAATTCTAAATCAATATCGTCATCCTCAGACGGATTTGCTAATTTAGACACCTCTTCCATGCGCTTACTTAGACTAAGTTCCTCGAACTGGGCGTAGGAATCAAAAACTTGGGTAAAATCCCGAACTGTGGTCACAGTCTGAATTGCTTCCTCATAAATATCTCTAGCTCGATCAAACAAGCCACTGCGTACATAATAATCGGCCAAACAATTCCATAAATGACCCAACTGATCGGTGTATCGATGTAAACCACCACGAATAATTGCGTCAACATTCAAGGAATGCACCTCACCAGGATTTTTTGAAATAAGATCGCACAGCTCATTCCACAGTTGATGATTCGATTTCCCATGCAAAGAGGCAAAGTTTTCGTCGTTAACAATTTTCGCCAGCACCATCGCAGCATCATCTAACCGTTTCACATCAATTAAATACTCTACAAATTCTTCCGCATTCTCTGGACAAAGTTTTAAATACCGACGAAATACTCGCATTGCGGTTTCGGATATGTCATGCTTTTTAATGAAGGTAAGATAAAGCGGCCATATTCGGTGATGTTGCGTAATGGGAAGTGCACGTAAAGCTCTATCAAACACAGTTCTCGTTCGTGTAATTTTACATTGGTTGGTTAAAAATGTACAGTAATCCATCCAAATTCTTGGCATCTTGTGCATGAAAATTAACGACCGTTCAAAAGCGTTATTTACCTCCTCATAAAGGGAATCATTAATACAACGACCTCTTGCTTGCTGTCTACGTGTTTTCAGATAATTATACCACAGTTTGTACGAGCCTGGCAGTTCCTTAAGCGCACGCTCATATACGATGTTAACACCATGTTTCGGAGCATTCTTCTTGTAGTCGATATAGCGCAGCCAATGTTTTACTGAATAAGGATTACGCAGAATTTCCTCTTCATAGGGAAGGTCATCATCGGTCTGAAAAAATAATGTTTTATAGCTTTCGTAGTAGTTTTTCAAAAATAAACACGTACAAACACAATTTCCAGGGATTCTATTAATTTCCGAGCCGTCATGATATTTCCTATTAATTAATTCTCAGTTCCATAACTAATAATAAATAAAATCCTTTCCAAAACACACAAATATTATTTCTAAAAGTGCGGTTAAAAATATCTAACCTAAAAATTTAAGCAACAACGACGCCTATAGGGTGAGTCAGTATGTTTGTTCGATTATTGTACAGAAGAATAAAAATTCTTCGATCATAACTGTTTTTACCACCCGCACATTAGGGAAGGATTAAGGAGGTATCGCATTGGGGTAAAAAAATCACACACCCCCCCTCACTTTTTGACAGAAATACACGTTTTGAAGTACCAGGAATCCGAATCAAACAAAATCTCCATCTGTCGCTCGGTCTGTACTGTCATTTCCGGCTAAACGTTTGGGTACGAGTGAGTCTTGACTTGGTCTTTTACAACGTAAGAAATCCGAGTGTGAGGTTTGTATTACTACGCTGGTGTTCCGAGTTCGTCTTTTTCCGTGTTTGTTAGCGCGGGAGCTGTCAACTTGTGTAAGTACCTACATCACACTTTATTTAATTTAAATAACACATTTAAATTGAATTAATACCGCAGGTGTTATATTCTTTGTTAAATCTTAATTATTAACTTAACTTACTTACTTGTTGAGATTGAGGTTGAGATTAGCGTATTATTGTATAACATTGTGGAGTGCGATACATTTTTGTTCGTTACGAGAACAATTAATAATCGATAAGTGATTTAGTACTAAGCCTAAGCGAATCGAAGAAGGATAGGTCATTCAGCTTTGATAATAGGGAATTTATATTTGGAGATTGAGAAATCATACTAAGTTTTTCCTTTTTCATTCGCGTTTTTAATAGAATTATGTTTTAGAATTGATGTCATCGGGACAAACTTTTAAAGAGGTGTTTGCGTTTCATCTGTATTCGTTTTTGCTATCAGACAAGTTTCGTCGTAGGTAGACCATTAATTAGTAGAAAATTTAATGACCAGTTTGGGTCGCCCATCATAAAGTGCACTACGGAACTAGGACTGCCTCTTATACCTTCACCAACAGAAAACGGGAAAACTATAAACGCGTACAGTGAAAGAAGCCTTCGGAGCAATAAGTACCATTTGCGTATGTCCGTCTTTGTTGTTTGATAAACATTAAATTTGGTCTGGGGTGAATTTTCACGTGTGTTTATTGAACACAGTATATTACGAGTTTCATGTTAATTTGCGCAAGCCGAGTCGTAATAGTAGTAATTGGCAAGAAAAAAATTTATAAAATAAAAAAAGAGGACCGTATAAAATTCTTGTCTATGCCACCATTGTACATATATTGATGCCACTGACGTTCCCAAATCTTACCAGTACTTTTGACGTCTCCTGTTGATAACAATACAACAAGTTGGTGATTTGGTATTGGTATCAATGATAGATTTAAAAATCACTAAATTGTTCTGTGTTTGTTTTGTTTTAGTAAATTTTGTGCCGATCCGAAGTAATTTGGACTGTAGATCGTGTGAATTTCTGTGTACTTTGCGGTAATTACTTTAAAGATATTAAAATAAAGTGATTTTCGGTATCTGTTGCAAAAAAGAGAACTGCTAACGCTCCAACATGTACGGCTAAAGGTATAACCTTAAAATGTCTAAGCAAGCGAAACGCAAAATAACTGTAAATATAAATCCCAAAATTAAAACGTTGCCTAAAACTCGGCCAAGTGTATTCGAAAGATTGGGTACGAAAGCAGGTTCCGCCCATAAAGAATTTTGTCATCACTGGGCCCAACATGGAACATGTCCTTACGGAAAAGGTTGTAAATACTCTTCGACACACACACTGATAAGTCCTTCGAAACAAAGGTTAGCTAAAAAAGAAAATGAGACTAAGAAAAGGCATTCTAAGGAAGGGGTACATAAACGACATTCTGCTGGAAAATCTACACAAAGTCCAGAAGAACACTGGAATCAGTGGGATCCAACAGAATTGGAAGATGCGGATGCTGCTGATTTAGAGAAAAGAAGAGAAGAATTGCAACGTGAGCTTGAGTTACAAATGAAAATGGAGAATAAAGCTCGCAAAAAGGAGAAAAAGCTGAAACTGGAAAGTAGCCCATCTACGGAGAGTTCGAGTAGTTCCAGTGACTCTAGTTCAAGTAGTGAGGAATCGAGCTCTTCTAGTTCTTCGTCTGTTGAAACAACACGGCGGAAGAAAAAGAAGGCAAAGGGCAAACAAAGGGACAGCTCATCCTCTTCCGACAGAGAGGATGTACGTAAACGAAAATCCAAAACAAAACAGCACAGTTTGAAATCATCTCGCTTGGAAAAAACTAAAAAAGCAGCTGCTAAAGTTGCCGTTAAGGTAGTTGCACCTTCACCTTCACCCGAACGTGCGGTGAAAAAATCACAGACTCCTCCGCCGAAAATTAAAACGTTTGTACCAGTAACGAAAGAGTCATCGACATCTAAATCTCCACGACCTTCTAGCAGAACAAGTGATAATAAGGAGAAACATCGCACGCCGTCACCCAAAGTGGTTAAAGAAAAGGAGAAGGAAAAAGAGAAAGACAAGGTCACAAAGGATCGGGAGAGAGAAAAGGAGAAGGAGCGTGAGAAGGAAAAGGAGAAAGAGCGTGAAAAGGAAAAGGAGCGTGAACGTGAGAAGGAGAGGGAACGTGAAAGGGAAAAGGAACGAGAAAAAGTTAAGGAACGTGAGAGAGAGAAGGATCGCCCCAAGGAGGTCAGGAAGCGTGATGTTAAATCGCCGCGGCGAGACGCCAAGGTGTCCAAAGATACCAAACGGAGGGAGTCTCCTGATTCCAGCCATTCTCGAGATAGAAAATTATCACCCAGTAGGTCACGAGGTAAGCTGTACTGAGCAACATTTTTTCGGTGCTAAATTAAGTACAGTTGATAGGATGTTGGTCATGCTCAAACAGATTAGTAGTATAGGTGTATCAATTATGCTTGATAGATCTCTTGGGTAATTCCTCGGGTAATCTATTATGAAAAAGTTTGACAGTGGCTCTAGCAATTGCCTATTTTTTTCATCATTTGTATACCTAGGTAATTATGTATTCACATATGTGACACAGTACACAGGATGTCCCAAGACGAATGCATGCTATTTAACTATATCTTAAAGGAGACCTACGAATATTTTGAAAATTTGACTACCTATAGATGCTAATGCCAACTTGCATATTTTAAATGAAACACTATACCGGTTGAATATTCCCAAACCGAACATAGGGAATTAACATGGGAAAAAGGTTTTTTGTAGATAGTTGCTCCCCATCTAGGATTGCCATCTCAAAACTCAGCCAACTAGGACAGGAAGCGTGAAAACCCCGGATTGAGGGATTATAAACCCGGACATATCAACTGAATTTGATAAAAAAATATTGTCTAAAGAAATAGTCTTTGAAATTGTACTTTATTTTTATCACTGACTAGAATGTTTCAATATTCAATAAATTCCTTTCTTTGGTCCACTGTTATGTCACTAGTGAACATTTTCTTTCAACGTTGGCATTATGAGACCCCGCTGGACCTAGCCCCTCCACCATTGTGAATCAATTTAAGAATGGTATCCATTTATGAGCTATTTAGGAGCTTTTCATATCGCAAGCTTAAAATTTTAGACCTCACTTTAATCACTAGGAATCGAACATTTCTTATGGGGTGGCCGAGTCTACTTGGATTCAGCCCCCCCACTGATCAGAATTACTTTTTTCAAATTAAATTTGTACTGCAATTACGAGCTATTTAAGAGCTTTAATTTACAAGTAATTTCGATTTTTGAGCGCCACTCCTAAAAGAGCAAATAGATATAATCGATGGGGCGGCCAGTTCCACTTGGACGTAGCCCCCCCCTCTGTTATCGTTTACTTATTTCAAATTAATTTTTATGCATAGTGGGGTCGTTATACGCCAACACCAATATTTTTGTCATTAAAGCACCAGATTTGGTACACAGGTACACTTTCTACTTAGGTGGACCCGAATGGAAATCGCCCGGGAGGCAGCTGGAGACACGCTGCTGTGAGGGAGGGGGAGGGGGTAAACTTTTCTTACGCCGCGCGCGCTATTGGTCGTCATAACTGCTAAATTATAACTACTAGGGCAAGTGTGGTATCATTTTCGCATAAACAAAAGACAGCCATTCATTTTCTGAAACAAAAAATGCATCCTTACGGACAAAAAATCGAATTACGGTAAAAAATCTAGAATTTTATTTACAAAAAAACTGTTCAAATGACCATAAACTTGGAACTAGCGCCGATATCGCCTACAAAAAAATATAATTAAAAAGCCACTACGTATTCTAAAAATATAAGCCTCCTTGGAACAGTTTAATAAATAATGCGTTTAAAAAAAATTATACACAGCGCGGCAGAAAAATAAAATGCCGTGATTAGGCAAGGTTGGTATATTACAGGTTGCCTCATAACTATCGACCAATAGCAATCGAGGCGCGAATACGTCACTGGTATCCCACGATTTAAACGAAATAATAAATGCATGCAGCCATACAGCTGGAAAATTTGATGCGTAGCTATTGTTTACAGTTCTTTGATGAGGTTTGAATCGTTTAACCAGTGAAACACAAATATTCATTTTATATTTTAAAATTTAGTAATTATAAATCGTTATATAATACAGTCAATCTTCGTCTGATGTACCAGTGTTTACCGTGAAAGATAAACAGCTTCATCTAACAATCAATTGCATAGTCACAGTTTATATCGTCTCTACACTTAAGTCTTCGATTTGTAGATGAGATAGGCGGTATCAACGAGACCATATGATCCTCCTGCTTCGGTCAGTTTTAAACACGTTCATCTTCTGCCGACCCGCAAGCACTAAATAAGATGTAGGTTCCGTCAAAAAATTTGACCGGTGTCTTATTTTTCCCTAAAGCATCATTTTCTTTCATTCTCCGTAAATATCGTGACCGCCAATCAACGATGTTGCTACGTTCCATCAATAATTGAAATTGAAATTAACATTACCTAATTTAGTTATGAGTTTTATTGATTTGCCGTCACAGCAGCAGCTAGCTCTAACCTTTTCCAAAGGAAATGCCCACATACTGGCAGCTTTCTGTTTGTCAAAGAATTCCACGACCCTTTTAATAATATTTCTAGGTTCTGAATGCACAGGTATTACAGGAGGTTCAATATTTATAACCTTACGCGTATGTCACATAAGCGGTAATGACAAGATAACGAAATTTGTGTGGCTACCAATGACGTCACGAGCAGACGACTTGATCTCCATTATTGCAGTTACGAGGCAACCTGTAATATACTAACCTTGGTGATTAGGTACCAGCCCGAAGATCTACTGAATTATTAATTATAGTAGTTGAGATTTACTTGGGGGGGGCTAGGTCCAGCGGGGTCATTATGAACAGGAATGCAAAAAAAGCACTAGGCAATTTTCAATAACTCCAAGTATAAATGAGGATTCGGTGTTTTAAAAAATTGTAACCAAAGCTGATTGGCGCTTAAAAGTTTTATTGGCTTACATTTTGACAGAAACTCATATAGATGCCTCAGTAGCTTAAAACCCGGATTACCAATGAAACCCCGCCCGGACGCTCCCCGGGCGCCCCCTAAACTAGGACAAATCCGAGGAAACCCGGACGGATGGCAACCCTATCCCCATCTTAACTTATAGTAGGAGAGCTGGTAGACATTTTTGGGTAAGTATTTGAGGCACGCTGAAAACTTGTCCACCACTGCTCCAATAATACCAAACACAGAAATGCAGACATGGCTGAGGAGAAGCGGGGCTAACACCTTGCCAGGCGCCTTCAATGCGTTGTGGGCATTCGGCAAAGTGTCCTGGACCCCATAATTACTCCCCAATCTCTGTCCCCTTTGATTCTCACCTCGAAATTTTAACTGCTTTCATAAATAAGAAAGTTGCCATTGCGCATGCTCAAAACCAAATTTTAAAACTGGTGTTAGATTTGTCTTTATTCCAAATGCCTATGTATAAAATTTTTTCATTTAAATCTCTCCATTAATAAGAAAGCACGCGTAAAACAACATTTTGAAAACGTCGTTAGTTTTACTTATATTTAGTGTTTACATAATTATATAAAGTTTCATTTAAATATCTTCATAAATAAAAAAGTTAGCATTGCACATGCGTTAAACCAAATTTTTGACACTGCGCATAATATGCACGGAATCCTTGGACCAAGCCCTTTCAAATGAGCCCTATATCGCCAAAATCGGTTCAGTGGTTTAGAAGGAGCAGATAAGAAACAGGAGGACGTCTAGAGAGTAGCAAAAAAATATATTTTTACGGACCAGTGGAAATTTGTGACAATAGTCCTTTTGAACTGAAGAGAACAGCTCTACTGAATATTGACAAGTTATGTAAAGTGCTAAAAAAATCAAAGTTTACTTAGATTAAGAGTAACATATTATGTATAGGATTATGCCCAAAAAATTAGATAGCTATGCTGATACAGAAGAAGTAAATGCCACTCGTGAACACCGATTTTCTATACCTCATGTCTCAAATAACTATGGTACCTAAGTCAATACAAACTTTGACAGATCAGGTAACTAACAAACCGATATAACGTAATATCAAGGATCGTCGGGGTTATTGGGTTGATTTAGGAATTCGAACATCAATAATGTCTTATCAATATCAAATTATAAAGAAATTAAGGTTTTTACAATATTCTCCAATTTTATACATATTAAGGTCATTAAGGATCATTTACAGTTTTGCACACAAATAACTACCCCAAAAAATCCCTTTTTAAATCTAAATATATCTTTTTAAATCCCAATAAATCTTTAAAAATCACTTTAAATCTCAATAAATCTTTAAAAATCCATATAAATCTTTTTAATCCCTTACAATCATTTTAAATCACCTTAAATTTGAATGATTTTAAATCGGTGTACAGTATTTTTAACAGTTATCCGCCCCTCGGGTAAACCACTTCTTTATGTGATGTACTGTGTGTCCTATTTTGTTTCAAACTGTGGTGTATCTCAACTGCTTTTATAGTTTGAGAATTGCTGTCGAGGTTGCGGGTTTCGCGACCCTGTGCCACTTTTTGTGAAACTCTGCAGAGATTTGAACAATGTTGGTATTTTTAAATGCAACACCCTGTATATCTTAACGGCAATTATTTTTTATTCTTTTTCCTGATTACATTGATATATATCACAAATTCACAACCTATATTTTTTTTAAATAGTCATGAAAACGTCAATTGGTTTGCATTCGTTTTCCTGATTAAATTTATGTATCTTCATGTATCACAACCTATAAATTAAGTTTTAGTCATGGAGATTTTGTTTTGTTTATTGTATCCATGGTAATTAAGAAGGCTGACGCCAATCTATAAAAATGGCTGACGGTAGAAACATGTCATTTCAACATTTTAAAAATATGATTTAATATAATAATAATAATTATATAAAAAAACAAGTAAAAAAGGTTTCGCCCTAAGGCGAGTAACTTCAGCGCATTTTCCGCTGTGATTTTCTTTATTAGAGGCATACATGGTGAAAATTTCAACGAAATATCTCCATAAATAAGAAACTTGCCATTGCGCAATCTGCGCATGCGCACATTTGATTTTTACTATATGGGATATGTGCCTTCACCAGAAATATCTGTGGTTAAAATTTCAGCAAAATATATTAATAAATAAGAAAGTTCACATTGCGCAGTTTAATTGTCAAGTTTTTCCTTGGTTCAGGTGCTAGAGCTATACGCTACCGAATGCAAAAAGAACGAACTTAATATCTTGAAAACTGTAGGAGTAGTTAAGGCCTCGTACAGACGGACGGACAGAGAAAGTGGCTGCAATAGCGCACCCAACTTCGTTGGAAAATGCGCTAAAAATATAGGTTGCAATACATATTAACATAATCAGGAAAAAAAAATGCAAACAATTGACTTTAAAATATACAGGGTGTTGTATTTAAAAAATACTAACTTTGGGTCAAACCTCAGAAATGGTGGTCCAATTTTTTTTACTACGCCTTTGATTCCACGTAAAAATATCTAAAATAGGCAGTGTCTACCCTTTTTCTATTTTACATGGGTAGTAAGATATAACATCCCAAAAAGTCAAAGTTTTCGTTTTCACTCTGTATCTCATTTTCTTTGTGGTATTAAAAGTCTCACAAAAAAGTGGCAAAGGGTCGCGAAAGTCGCAAATCTATTTTTAAGAAGAGCTGAGATACACCACAGTGTCAACTGAATTAGGACACACTGTGCTACAGTATTGCCGTGAAATGCTATATTAAGGAAAGGAGCTCCATCTTGAGGAACTGTTAAATTTCACATATGTGCTGATAATACGTTCTACCTTATTAATTGACTTGAAAATGTTAAGCTGGTTTATATCTAAGAAATGACTGTTTATGTATTTCAGGTAGTGGGAGTGCAGGTAGCCGGCGAGATAATAGTAGAAAGAGTTCTCCCACAGCACCAAAAGATGATCGTCGTTCTGATAAAAGAGACGATCGTGATAGGTCTAGAGAGCGAGATAGAGCGAGCGATAAACATAGAAAAGATAAACGCGAATCACGCGACGCTGCCGAGCGTGATAGGGAGCGAGAGAGAAGAATTGCTAGAGAAGAACGAGAAGCTGCAAGAGAAAAAGACAGAGAGGAGGCGCTAGCGCGCTGCCAAGAGAGGCAAAGGGAACGGGAGCGCTTAAAAGAATTGGCGAAGAAGGAAGAGGATCGTAGGGGCCGTGGTCATCGCGACGACCGTGGTTTGGACAAGCCGAGCGGTGATAGGGTTGAACGTTTATTACCGCTACCAGCGGATAGACTGCCCCCTAACCGGCGGGGACGTTCGCCCGATAATAAGAGGTTAAATAGTCGGGATAGGTCGAGAGATATAAGAAGGGATAGAACTCCGGACCGCAGTAGAAGTGGTGTTCGAAAATCTGTTGACAGGCACGATCATTTGGAGAGGGATGGTGGGAGACTAGACCGGAGCTATGATCATAACTATGATCGTGGGGATAGGAATTACGATAGAGATAGGAATGATGATCGTGATCGAGATCGTGAATATGGAGCAATTCCACCACGATTACGTGAAGACAGAAGACACGACGACAAAAATTATGATGGTTCATATGACAGAAGGCTTGAGGATCGACGTTATTTGGAAATGGAAGATCGTTTTAACGAAAGCGCGCGTGATGACCGCATGCCGTTAGATACTAGAGATTATCCGGATGACAGAAGAGTGCATCGTGAAATGTGGGATGCTCGTGATGAAAGAGAAATGGAGCGCGTGCGCGAGCTTGATCAAACATACGGGCGCGAGGATTCCAGACCTCGCTCTCTTAAGGGAAGGGAGTGGGACGCAATGGATTATCCAGATCATGAGTGGGATCGGGGGCGCAGACCTGTGGAATGGGATGGTCGGGGCGGATGGGATAGTCGAGATCACGATCAGTCGCAGTTGGAAGAAGAATGGCGCCATTATAATCGTTCCATGGACAGTTGGACAGCTGATGATAGACGAAGATGGTCTGAATGGAGAGATCGATCAAGGCCGCAAAGCACAACGTCTCATCAAGAAGGTGGTAGGTGTAGCGTTTCGCGTTTCGATAATGTAAACAGATTTATTCAGTTGTAGAAGATGCAGCAAGTGAGGCTCATAAGCGAGAATTACCAAAATCCGAATCGACAGAATTTTCACAACCAGAACCTGAGACTAAAAGTGATACGATTTTGGGTAAAAGACCGCCGGAACAGAGCGTTGACAGTCCTAGCGAACCAAAGAAAGTATGTCTCTCCGAAACTCCTCTCGAAGACAATCTTAGTGAAATTAGTGATGATGCTGATGAAATTTTGAATAGAGAAGAGGTAATGTATGAGCTAGTGTTGAAGAGTATTGATTATTTTTTGTAGGATCAACCTGAACCACAAGTTGAGGAAACTCTCTCCACCGATAGCGCTCCAAAACCAAGCGAGAAAGAGGCACAGGAGGTAGTTGAGCCATCCGTGACCAGTGCACCACAGAAATCACCCTCACCAAGTAAAAGTCCGGCAAGAGTACCAAAGGAAGAGTCTATTGAGGATGAAAATATGGATTTGGACTTCGAGGAAATATCAGAAGATGAGCTGGAAGAAGAAAATAGAGTTAAAGGATTGGGAGATGCCCTGGGTGTCGATTGGGCAAGTTTAGTGGCCGAATCTAGGCCACGCCCCAAACCCGTTAGTTCTGCAAAACGCCGTTGGGAAAGTCACAATATATTAGTTAACATCGGCATATCAGTGGAAATGGCAGGAGAAGCGCTGGTAAAGGAGATTTTTAAAAAACACGCAGAAGAAAAGTTAAAGGAAGAAATTGAGGAAAAGGGTATGAAAGAAGAAGACAAGGCAGATGATGCACGCGAGGTGTGTGAAACACAAAGCCCAGAACCACTGGTACCGCATCCTGTTGCTGCCATTCAAGTAGCTATTAGGGAAAAGAAAGCAATGCGCAAAAGTTTGTTTGCTAGTGCTGGTCCGTTTAGGCGTGCCCTATCGGCTAGACGAGATCTGGCTATTCGCAGACATTTGTGCGATTTACCTATCAACGATACATTCGTGGAGGCACCAAGAAGGCATGATCCAGAATTGTACAAACAAGCATTGGAATTGTTCGAACGAAATTTATAGCACTAAGTTTTAGAAATTGTGTATTTTTTAAGACGCTCAAGTGAAACCATGCTGTAATGTAAGTACAGTTGCAGTTTGATTTCAACTGTTTATATTTAAGCAGAAAGTTCAATTATGTCTTCAGTGTATAGTGTTTGATCTAGTTACTTGTCTTTGAAAGATATGAGTTATAAAACCTGATAATTACAATTATAAAATAAATACTCTTGTCTTTTTGATTTAAAAAAACCCATGGAAATATTAGGATTATTTCAATTTCATTTGCACAACCTTGCTTAAATGAACAGTGTAAGGATTACATAAAATACAACAATTAATTAAATGTGTATTTTACATAGGAATTAGGAAATAATCAAGACCATTGATTGTGTTCTCATCTAAATAATTGGAACTGGAATTGCTTATGTGCTAGTTGTGGAAAAAAATTAAAGAAACACACAGGTTAGGAATTTTGGGGTTTTGAGGATTCTTGTCTATTTTTAATAACACATGTATAAAAACAAAGATCATCCTGTAGTAGCTCAACACCTTACCCTTTGTCAATACTTACTTCCATTTTTAAGTGCATCTAAATTCAGCACCAAATCACCAAACTTTTAAAAACTGAGCTGTACCTGCCACATGAGCTCATACTGTCCTGTTCTGGAAGTAAATATGAAAACTTCTGTTCATTATATTTATACTCAAAGTGAGGTACATTAATTACATCAAAAGAAAAGGGAAACAATAAATGGCAAAACTGAATTAGCACTTTGGATCTTCTAACATGAAGATAGCAAACAAAAAAAAAAGTGTTAAAGGTTCTATAAAATTGCAAACATTTGCACTTATTTATTTCGATTTAACATTCTGCAAACACAACTGCAAATAGGAAACTCGGTCTACTACCAAAACTCTTTCAAATTACATACTTTGGCGCAGTAATAAAGTGCACCGAATTCGTTACTTGATTACTTAAATTATTAGTGGAACATGCTAAGGAACTAACATCTTTTTGAATACCGCCAAACATAATTAATTCCGATTTTCCAGCGACTAAAGAATACAGCACTGTCTCTTCCGGTCCCTGACACAAAGCGCCATTGTTCTTCAGTGGCAACCAGGTTACGTATGGCTTTTCGTCTAACGCATGTGAGATATCTAGCACGTACATCCCTAAAACGTTACGTTTCTGTTTCTTAGGCGATGGGGTACTCCACGATTGATTAATCTCTATCATTTGCTTTTTAAGTTTTTCTTCAAGTCGACGTAAATTTTCCAGTCGCCTTTCGCGTCGATGGTCTACTTTTGATGTACTATTTTCGTTGGTATTAAATGCTGATAAACTAATTCCAGGACTAGGAGGATTACTTACTACCTGCAAAGTTAAAAAGTGTTACACCCGCACAAAAACACCAAAAACTTACATTAGGCGACGGTGGTTTATTACTTTGGCTGCTAGCGTGGCTCGGACCCGGTTGCGGTTCTTCATCTGATACAACACGCCGAACCGGAAATGTCCCTCGTTTACCATTTACATTTTCATCCTTATCTACTTGTTTAGCTTTACGCTCTAATCTTTTTTCTGGCTCGTTCTCCCCTCGCATCCAGACTACTTTCGAATAATAAACCATGTGTGGTGTGTAATTTTGCCGACTTCGACTTAGTACTATGATCTTATCACCTACCTAAATACAACAAAGGGGCGGTCAAACGCCATTGAAAGTTATGAAAATGCCATACTTTACAAACTGGGATGCACCATAAATTGGGGGGCGCATCACCGGAATTTCGTACTTCAACTGGCAACCAAGTCCATAAATCGCCTGTCATTTTCAACACCCATACATCCGAATAATATATAGCTGTACCGCCAGTTCCGCCCATAATTAGTAAATGTTCATCATCTAACATTGTTTGCGATTGTCCATAGCGCTGAACTGGCTTTTTATGTTCTGCGTTAAAAAAAAATTTTTAAAAAGGCGTACGCATTTTTTAGTATAAAGCTGAATTTCTTCTCTTTTTTCAAGAAACTTTTACAAGAAATACTTTTTCAACCCAGATTTTTGTTTCTTTTGAATTTAAGACACTCTTTCCCCAACAACAAATAATTTTTGTATTATTTTACTTAGACAGATGTGCCCTTTTTGACTCCAATTTTTTACTTTTTTGTAGGCTCACAACTTTCAAAAAACAAAAAATTTTAAAAATATGACGTAAGGCAATTTATTTAGATAGAATATTTCAATTTACATTAAAAAAGTGTATAGGGAATTATAAATATGTAGTTACCATTAAATTATAAATTGTACATAAATGTTATAGAAGAGTTGTGGAGACCAAACATGTTAATATTTTAGCATTATAAACACACACACAAAAATATTAACATGTTCTGTCTCCGCAACTCTTCTATAACATTTATGTACAATTTATAATTTAACGGTAACAATTTATAATTCCCTATACACTTTTTTAATGTAAAGTTTCCAGTTCGGCCTGAGGATGACTTATTGTTGAAATCGATCGCCGTTAGAAATAATGAAAACTGTTTGAGTCTTGAATCATTTCATTATTTTCCAATAAGCAATCGCTCATCCTTCATCAAAAAAGTTTCAATTTAAGTTTAGTTTTTTTTATCTTTTAGATCGACTTTTTATGTTTTTTTTTTGTATATGAAGATATTAGAGACAAGAACAAACCCTCATCAGCACCTTTTAAATAAATTACAAAAAAAATCCTTAGTGGAACCTCGTTGGACCGATTTTCATCAAAAAACTAAATGATCCAAAGACGTTTTAAACCGTTTTTTTATCATTTGTATTTTTGTAATGTTTTAGCCTAACGCTGCAAATGTTCTTGATGAAATTGAAAAATGCATTTTAAACTAAATATTTTTGTATTTTTAGATTTTTTGTTTCGACATTCGGAAGTATATTTTAATCAAAACATACGAAAGATATGGACCTAAACAAAGTAATCATATCTTTTAGAATGAATTTTTGCATGTTTTCTTTTTGTATTGATTTTCTTCATTATGCACAAAAAGCATTTAGCTCTGATTAACGTATTTTCCTTATATGCGCTTATTTTTTCAATAGTCCTGACCGAGGTCCTGACTGTTGACTGATAATCCTAATAAGGCTTGCAATGTCTGTGTTAAAATGTAAGTCCTGTACCTGGCACACTCCCCTTACTGCACAGTCGGCATTTAAGCGCCTGCAACATTTATCTTGGTCGTGTTTAGAACTGTAAAGATAGGTCAACAGCCGATTGATCTTGCAACATTATGTACGTCCACCTTACACGACGCTGATGTAGACTTGTGTTGACTAAAGTCCAGTGTTTCTCAACGGGGGCCATGACGTATTTCTCGGGGGCCACAAACGAAAGACAGAATATTGGTAGGCCACGGAAACTTTTCAGTGGGTCACGAAAATTCACTTCTACAATATCTTACTGAAATATTAAAATGAAATAATTTCCCAAAAATGGCCAGTACAAAAATTATACCACAATAACCTTGTGCTTTCTTAGATTATTAATAATTGTCCTATAATGGGGGCAGAGCTGTCACAAATCGTTTAAAAAACGATTTAAATCAAAGATCAAAGATGCATTTCATTTTAACAAATGATTTAAATCAAAGATACTTTTGTCAATAAGAAAGTATTTAGATAATAAATCATTTTGAGATTTAAATATTTTTTGTGATTTAAATCTTTTTAGAAAGTATTTAAGATACTTTCAATGTATTTAATTCATTCAAAAAGGTTTAAATCTAATTTTGTTAATTTAAATCACGTATAAAGATTTAAATAATGTAATGATGTAATGATTTAAATCTTTTCCGATGATTTAATCGTTTTGTGACAAAAGGTTTGTAAAGGATTTAAATTCAATAAAACTGATTGGTCTGATGATCTTGCTCGAAACCCATTCATCAATATACTTACCATTTCTACCGTATTTTATTGTTATTATTTATTAAATTAAAATATGTACCTATTTTTTTGCGAAAGAACTTTTAAAAAACCAAGACATCGTCAATCTCAGTAGGTATACTCGATTTTGTAATAAATACATATAAACGTCTACCGAAATAAAACCCGGGTTAATTAGCTTAGTCAGGTTGAAATAAATCAAGAGAATTTGTTAGTATGTATTAATTAAATCGTCTCTAAAAGATTTAAATCACTCGGAAACGATTTAAATCTTTTCGAAAGTATTTAAATCTTTTTAAAAGATTTAAATCATTTTTTAAGTTCAAAATCAAAGATAGTTTTCATGAAGATTTAAATCTTAAATCAAAAATCATTTTCCGTAAAAAGATTTAAGATCAAATGATTTAAATCGAAAAAAGTATTTAAATCATAAAAAAGATTTAAATCTTATTAAAAGTGACAGCTCTGAATGGGGGTTTACAGTGTAGTTGAATTCCGCAGTTCTAATTTAATAAGCGTGTACCTGAAACCATAAAACATTTTTTTGGACAGTAAAAGTTTATTTAAAAATAGAGGCTGATTAGCAAAAAAATAATGAACATGTGCGGTTTTAAAGGTTTATTCAAAACGATATGATTGTGGCGGGCTCTGTGACGTAATAAGCCCGACCAATCAGCTCCTAGAACCATTCAGATGACATAACGACTTGGCAATATTGCAGGAGAATGGCATTTATAACTTGCGTCATCTGTCACAGGCACTTGTCACTTTCGTGCTAGATGCAGTTAAACATCCCTCTCAAAACGTCAAATGTGACAAACGTCAGACCCTCGCGTAAGGTTGCCAGCTCACTTCTACGTGATTGGTTGTAGGTTTGTGACGTATTTAGTCTGAAGCGTTTCAAATTCGGACTAAAAACACAGCTTTTCAATAATTTATTTTGGGGTTATTTTACTCGCAAATAAAAATTGAGGACACACGGGTCTTTTTATTTTTAATGTAGGTACTTTGTGGATCAGAAATAAAAAATGAAGGCGGGATGAGCCCATTGGAATTTTATTCTGTTGGGCAATAAATCGTATTATTATTATTATTATTATCCTTGCTTGTGCTATCTCAGTGTACCTTTCCTAGAAAGCAATAAATCCTAATCACAACTTTAATTGTTTATAAATGGCAAACGCCCAATGCAATTGATAGAAACAATACCGGAAAATGTTTGTTATTTTTTTCTAACACGACTAACACCCCTCTATCGCCTACCGGATTATTTTTCTGTAGAGATTAGTTTTTCTACTACTTTCAAAGTTGCATTTTTGTTTAAATCAGCGTCAAAACAAAATGACCTTGAAAATGGTTTCTTGATAACTAAAAAATAACTCAAATTATTTTTTATCTAAATTTTCAAGTGTTACAATATTGAACTGCCACATTTAATGGTCTACATTCTATAGATTTTTGTGCAGTCTGAGAAAGAGGTAAATGAGTACAAAGCAACTAAAATTTCAAAATTTTCTCGGAGTATGACGGGGGGGCGGGGTCCATATCCCCGGGTCTAACGCGGAGGGGGGCCACAAAGATAAATAACATTTACAAGTAGGCCACCAGTAAAAAAAGGTTGAGAAACACTGGACTAAACAACTGATAATTTATGTCTACCTCGCTACAACTAAAAATATTTTAATGTGCACGTGTTTACTCAAATTTTTTGTTATTAAAATTTGTTGACAATAATCTTTGACTGTTATCATTCAAAGTGTTTTTGTAAGTACTTTCGTTTTTAGCGCACTTTTTAAGAATGAAAAAAAAGGTGCTATTGTTTGCGTTTTGTCCGCCCGTCCGTCCGTGTGCCCGTTTGTCCAGACCCACATCTGAGGTTTTAAACTACTTTTAGGGGATGATTCTAGAGTCCTGGAATTTTTTGTGATATGTAGCCTATAGCTTGGACGTGTGCCAGACGGTCATCAAATTTCGCTGTCTGAAGGAGGGGCCCCCCATGAATTATTACTTGAGATGCTGTTGTTGAATGTAAAACGTGCATAACTTTTACATGCAACAACCAACTGGTCTCAGTGGTGCCTTTAGTGGTCCCAAATAAAATTTTTGAAAGTGGGGGGCGGACCAGGGGTGACCACATGTTTTACCCTTCATGCTATTCTAAGGAAAGGTCTCACCGAAATGTATTGGTTTGTACAAACTATAACTTTCCAGCGCCACTCCTTTCCGAGATCAGTAGGTGGACGGGAGGAGGAGGGAGAGGGTAGAAATTAATTTTATGTTTCATGGTATTCCAATCTTGATTCCAATTAAAGGTCTCAACAAAAGGAACTGTTTTCTACCGCCCTACTTTCTGCCTCCTCAAAAGAGGGGATTGTGTGGGGGAGGGGGCTGGTTTTATCCTTCATTGTCCTCTAATGAAAGGTCTTAACGAAAGGAATTAATTTTTACCAACTATAGTCTCCTCCTAGACTCCTTATCGTGATCGGATATAGCTAAATAATTCCTTATATCTCAAGAATATACTGTTGGAAGATGGTACTCACAAAGGGCGATTGGGACGTCTGGAAGAAATTAGTGAGGCAGTTAGAACCATCCTGATGGAACCAGAAGTTTTCTCCACCAAGTTCTGGTAGCAGAAATTCTCATATCATTATTCCATGTTGTTCTCCATTATTAGTAACTGCATTATCCAGGCAATCTTGAAACAAGCGAGGAAACATGTATAAATTCTGCATCAAAATAGCTTAGTGAATACTTGGGTTATAAGGTAGCAGCATGCTATGTTTAGTGATGTTTACCTTCTTGGTAGACGATTAATGGTAAGGGGGTTCTTTACACATAAACATTTAAAGGCCGCCTGGCATACATTCAAAATCTACGCTATATAATGCAAGAAGAAACAATTCTCCGAAGTATGGCACTTCCCTTTTGTAGATACCTTGCTCCGAAATTTTCGAGATATCCACAATAACATTTTCCAGTAGATGTGTCTCGTCTTCTAGACGATTCAACCACAAACCGTTTTCAAGATCTTAGCTCTTAAATTTTTGACATTAGCAATAGATATATTTCTTCCAGGCGTCCCAATCGCCCTTTGTGAGTACCCTTCTCCGACATACCGCTCTTGAGATAAAAGGAATTATAACTGATCATGATAAGGGGTCGAGGAGGTGGATTATGGTTAGTAAAAATTAATTCCATGAAGGATCAAACCGTCCCCCCAAACCCCTTATTTTGATAAGGGGTAAGAAAGAGAGAATCAATCCATACCCCCCCCCCCCCCAAATAACCCACTGTCCACAAAATGAGTCTTGCATGAAAATTATGATTTGTAGATACCAATCACAGTTCAATGAGACCTTTCATGAATCCATGAAGACTAGAACAATTGTTCACCCCCTTTCCCCCATATGTTCAAAAGTTTTACTTGGCCCCACTAAAGGCATGCATGTAGAATCTGAGAGTAATTGGTCGTCGCATGTAAAAGTTATGCACATTTTAATTTTAAAGACATCACCTTAAAGGTAACGGCAGGATTCTACGACATGGCTTGCCGTGTTCATTTTAATTGGACTAGGTAAAAACAAAGAACACTAACTAAAAAAACGAAACCTCTAAACAAATATACGGCCGCAACGCGCGAGACTGCATTACCTGCTCTTTGTTTACACAGGTTTCGGAATCTTAGAACTTGAATTGCGACATCTAACTGCTAAAAAGTGGTATGCTTTGAGTTGTGATATTGCAAGTCTTTTTAGGATTGTCAGTCAACGCTTCTGACACAAGCAAAATAATCTGAAGAAAGTATGTAGCAGTTTTTTGGTGCCATTTTAAAAATTGAAATATAAAGAATGTTTTGAAGAAACACTAATTTGGTAGTTGTTTTTTACAGAAGTGTGGAAGGGCCATATAAGTTATTATTTTACTACCTAATTTGCAGATTTAACAGTAAATACACATATTTATCTGGGTACTTGAAAGAGTTGTCATATCTCTCAGGGAATTTATAAATCTATCTGGAAATTAATGTAGAGGTTATTGAATGATGAACTGCGTAGATTGTCTGAAAGTTAAGCTTCCGATTCTGTCGAAAATTGACTCACAGTTTATGACATGCCTTAGTTTTTATTAATTTATTCTAAATCTATGTAACATGTGGAGAAAATTTAATATTAAGAAACCACATTCCTACATCAAATAATTTGTGAAGTAGGTATAGGTAATTAAGTTTTTCCGACACTTTTGAAAAAGTAGCTTTCACAACATGCCTTATAATAGCGCAGATCAATTATTTTCAATATTTGGAGTCATAATAGAACTCCGCGTAAACATTGATTCACCTTATGTTTCAAAATGAATCAAAAAGTCATCCGAGTTATCATTGTTGAGAACCACATCCCCTATGTTGCATTGTTTTCCCTTACTTTGATAATTTTATAGAAAATAATATCGACATAATAGTTACCATCTGTAGTCTCTTGCTTATACCAAGTCCATGTCTCAAGATTCAGCTTCCAAATATCATTAGACTTTGTTGAATGAACAACATTACTTGCTCTTTGTAATCCCCCAAATATGACCATCCATTTACCATGAACCGAAACAGAATGCCCTGCAGTCGGTGGTGGCGTATTCTCCGTGACGATATAATTCCACTGATTAGCAGTTATATCGTATATGTGCAGTTCATTGAATAGATGCCAGGTCTGATGTAACGGATATGATGCCGGGTGCGTCCATCCGCCGAATAAAACTGCGAACAATAATAATTATGGTTGAAAATCAGACGAGAAACCGCTCACCTAACGAATCTTTATAGCACACCATACTGCAACACGCTTTCGGTGACGGATATGTACCCATAGTAAGTGGCCTAACCCACTGTCGCTTTGACAAATCTAATCGCCATAGGTCGTTAAAGGTTGTCATCGAACATGTGCAACCGCCGAACACGTACATGGAATTATCGTGAATTACTGCTGCGTGTGAATATCTTTTGGTGATCGTTGGGGCCATAGCAACTGGGGTTACTGACTGCCATGCTATGGCATACTCAGAGATCGCTCTATCGAAGTTTCTTTGTCTGGTTTTTGCGACATCTGAAATAAGAAAAAACCCTCTCAAACAAAGAAAAAACTCTCCTGTACTAATTATAGAATCTGATTAAGCGGAATTCTTACTTAGAACGCATCTTCGCCATCGTTTTGAGACTTGTAGACAATCGTGAAGATCTTTATATGGAGGAATTAAACTTAAAATGAATTCTAATACTTCTTCAGGTAAATCTTCTATGGTACAAACATTTTTATTACACGCGTCTAAACTCATTTTTAGAAAACACTGGAATTTTGAAATTTAAACTTGATGTACACAATAATATGACAGTTCGATGTACTCTTTGACAATCATGCATACCAACCTTCGGAGGATGAATTTAAACACCGACTGGAACGACGTGGTGGAATTTGGCAATCAGTCAGTAAGCGGCGATTACTCAGTCGGTTTAACAGCGTTATCGTGTTTCGCGCGCGATATTTGATTTATTTATAACCTTTCCTAAAACTTTAAAATTGATTGTAAGCTAATTCTAATGAAGTAAGTTGAATATTCCCAGTGCCGGTCTTATTGTGATACCTTGTGATGTTTAATCGTTAATTTATAAAGTGTGTCAATAGTAGAATACGAAAATATCAATTTGTAACCTCAAAAAAAACTTATTTTTAAGAAGAACTTTTAAAATGTCCCTTTTAGTGCATCTAGGATCTGCTGTAGATCACATCAAACAACTTAAACTAGTACTAGCTGAAAGAATCAGCTTTTCGACAACACAGAAGGTTGAATCGTTGTAAATTGTGTCGATGCCGTTCCACTCATTTTATGCTTTGCAGGTTGTTGTGGTCTCGGTGGCAGTTAGTCTGGGACTTTTAGGTATTGCTCGTTCAATGAAACGTAAAAAGCAGACAGTCGATCCAACCAAATACAGACGACAGTTGGGCAGAAGGTTAAGGTCTTCGGGCGTTAGGAGTCCCAACGGAGGTAAATTTTAATGTTTGTGGCCAGTCTGACAGGTTTGTGTATGTATAGGCTAGCTTAGAAGTTACATTTAGCAAGTAACGGTAATGGTATTATTTATATCTTTGCTTACTATTCTGAAAAGTACTTTCAGACCACATGTACAAAATGAGAAATGAGAATGGCATAAAGAAGGACGAGTTACTCTTGACTTGTCTAATCATCCTGTGTAGCAGAGAATATTTATTATAGGATTTAGTTTTTTGATAGATTATGCATCTTTCTATACTGCTAGCTCTGTTTTTCTCCTATTCTGTTCGTCCTCTTGTAGGTATTCTTATTACCAATTGAATATGAATAGTATATGGTATAAATGTAAGTTTGTCCCATTAGATTAGTAGCTTGTATTTGTTCCCATAAGGGGTCCACGATGTGTGTTCATTCGGTTAAATTCAAATCTAATTGATAGCTAATTTATACCTCAGATTGAGAATTATACATAGGAAAGTTCCTATGATGATAGGCAACACACAATGCGGAAATCGGTTGTTCCTGCTATTCCTATTGGCCGCACAAAACATTTTTTGCCACTCAATCAAATGCTGTTTTTAAATTTAAGAGTTATCTCGCCTGCACCGGCGGATCATTTTTTTAAAATAAATTTAAGAAAATACTGCAAAAATGATTTTAGTTTAATACTCGGTTTAATAAATTAACATTCCCTGATTCTCGGATGTGAAAAGAGCGCATCCGTGACTACGCCTAAATTGTGCCCTCTGATGAGGAAGATGTTTTTATAATTTCCGCTTTATGCGAAGAAACAGAAAAAGGCCGCTTCGTTACGCTGCCGATCGCTGCTCTTCCGGCAAGTGTGCGCACTCTCATTTAAAACTATGTTTTAAAATAAATCCGTTCCGCTGCGCTTCGCTCTAGTGAGCGGTACCCTTTAAGGTACCTTCATACAGGGTGTTCCATTTAAGCTGTGTAAAAAAATTTTGTTTTCCAATAAATCGATGGTTCCCAAAATTGAATTTCCTTTTTATTTATTTTTTCGGGGAATCATTTTGAAATGTGCTATTCTAACTACTTATTTTGGTTTATTTTTAGACTCAATGTGCAGTACATTTAAACAGATAAATGCTCTAAAAATACATTTATGATACGCATTTAGAAAACTAATTATGGGGGCGTTATTTAATGTTTAAAAATTCCTCAAGTACAAAATTTCGTCCAGATCGGAATTTTTTTGCTTCGCCACCCATTCAAATGTTTATAAAAAATCATAAAGGGCATACCCAAAAAGATGTATAAAGCAAATTTTGTCCTTCTAGCTGGTTCCTGAGACAAAAATAGAGAAGTAACGTTAATTTGTTTGTTTTTTCCTGTAAAACATCAACATCGCTGGTTACACACAAATACTCAAAACAAGAAAGTTAAACAATTTTTCTGATTTCCTTGCAAGTGTTAGTAGTTTTTTGTTTTTTAATACAAAATCATAGATATCTTATTTGTGATTTTGTCATATTTAAAAATGAAGGTGTTATTAGGTGCTTAAAAAGGAATCGTTTGACCTATTTGAAAAGTATTACCTAAATTGAAATTTATTGTTCTGCCGGAATTATAGTCGCGCCCGCCGGGGGCCGGAGAGCGCGATGTAAAACCTGAGACTCCGGATGAATGCCCGGCATCTGGCAACCCTGGCTAGAACTCGAACACCTTTAAGATCTTCCTCTAACCCATCGAGTCAAGATGTTTTGCCATTTGTACAAAGAAATCGATGAAGAAGGTTTTGCACTAGCAATGTAACCAGAAAGAGAGAGGGAGATAGATTTTTCTTGCATTGACATATATTGGTTTCCTTGTGCATCTCACAAGATTTAAATAATTTATTTTATATCCTAAGAGAAGTTCTTATTGAGAGTTTGCAGAACGACTTCCAGTCTATTTAAGTATTTTTACAACAGGTTTCAATGGTATGATGGTACCACGAACTTATAAATTAAGATGGATTGCTGATCAAATAGTTGCATAGAGGTAGAAATGGCCCTAGCATGGGCGCCGCCATGATGTGCACGTTTTAGTTATTTTCTAGGGGAATTTTCCTAGTGCTCAAGTTTTGAGACTATTGCAGTCTTGGAAAATGACATGTGTCACAGTAATTTAGAGGTTAATGTTGGGTTAACGCTTGTTTATTGGTTGATTTGAATTTCGCGCCCTGTGAGTGCACATCATGGCGGCCCCCATGTAGGTGTCATTTGTTAATTCAGCATTAGCAGTCCATCTTAATTTATAAGTTCGTGGATGGTACTTACCCATCAAAATAAACTATATAAGAATTTCCATTGTCTATCCTCGATATCGCCGATGCCTATTCCCAGCTTTCGAATTACCTACGTCATCGAATAAAAAATTAATACGTGTATATCCGTAAATCTTTGTTGACGAGTGTAAGTGTATAAACACAACACACAATAAAATATTATTATTTAAAAAAAAAATGTCTAGAGGGAATTCTAAGATGTAGTTGAATGTCTAGAGATATCCGGAGGATGTCCGGTGGATATCCGCGGATCTACGTACGAAATGGAAGTTTGGTGTACAAAATTTTGTCTGTGATTTCACCTTGACATTAGGTTTCCAATTTTGAAATCTGGCTCTATTTATCTTCACTACAAGGGAAAGTTTCCGAACTCTGATTGGCCTAATGGGCCTCCTTAATCATTAATTATAGTATATTATACCATAGATATTTTGTGCATTCCCGATTCATCCTTCATATCTATGGGGGTTTTGGATTACCTAACAGTTTTTGTATGCATGGCTCACTTCAAAAACAATCATTGTGGTAAATCAAGCATTACCGCACGTATGCTTGAAAATATCCATTTAAGCAAGGTGTGAATTTATACTTTCTCTTTCAGTTGCTCGTTGATGATGGCAGCTTTGTTGTTGAAACGCGTTCGGTCTATTGTATTTCGAATCGCTACACCTAAATCCTCATGTACTGATAATTTGCAAACAAATAGGATACGCTCTTGATTCTCACTCATTTTACTGACAAACCATAAAACACGTTTATCTAAAAAATATTACACTGTCTTTTAAAAGCATAGGTTCCCCGAAAAACGAAAAGACGCAAAAACAATTTTTTTAATGTACTTTAATTTTATGGACAAGCTCCTCCCCTCGCTCTTCACCCTCCAGAAGGGTTTGGTACTAATTTGTACCATAGGGACACCATCCATTCTAGAAAACGTGTAATCAAGGTAACTTATTCATTTTGATTTGTACTTTAATAACGATCGGCTCCCTTTAAGAAATTGCATTAAATGTTATTGAAAGTAAAAAAGGATTTGATTTTTGTAAAGAATGGAGCAAAACTGTATCGTATTAAATCATTATGTTTGAACCCATTTAGCGGAATGTTGATTTCTTTCTTTTGAACTTGCATTGTCAGTTAAAGTGAGAATATTGTTGGTTGGTTGATTTGGGAATTGCAAAAGTGGTAACGTTGGAGTTGCTGAATGCTCTTTGATAAATTATTTATGACAATTCCGTTATTCCTCTCCTCTTGAAATCAAAAAAATAAACCACAAGATCTACGACACATCAAAAAAGTTTAACGAAATCGGTGAAGGCACTCCGAAATTCATGTTCGTGACGCTTGTTAAAGTTGATTTCTTAGAAGAACAATCTCGGAACTACCTACCAATACTAATTATTCAATTAATAAAGCTAAGGCACTACGTCTGGGTTAACAATTACGACCTTTATCGTGACCATTACGTAAAATATAAGTCAAGTTCACAGAGCGGTGCATCACGAAAGGCATCATACGTAACGTACACATTACGTTTATTGGGTAATTGTTCTCTTTAATTGAACAATGTTTTATGGAGTAATATAATTATAGGGGGGAACATAAAAGTTGTAACTCTTACCGGATGAGTTAATAGGCCAAGGTTTTCCGATTTTGAATTTTTACTTTATTTGCGATGTAATGACAAGTATATTTAAATAATTATGCTCAGACATTTCAATTAATCTACTTACACATTTTGTGCATTTACCTACCTATTTTAGCGATATAATCTTCCGACTTTTAGAATACGATGAAGAAAAAGAGGGAGCATTTTAGAGCGTTTTTTGAAAAAAAGTAGCACTTTGGCTGTTCGGTCGGTCGGCTGCAAAGGTTTTTTAAGTATAACTCTCGACGGAATTGGTTTCTACTAACACAGATTGACAGGTATCTCAACAGATATACTTGTTGTATATGTCTGTGCTAGTAGATACCTAATCGTCAGAGATAGTTTTCCGACAAGATGAATTTTTCTTGTTTTATAGCCAATAGTAGACATTTCCCATTTTCCAATCGTTTCCAAAATCTTCTCAGCTCTCGAGACCATTTCAAGGAATATCTGTTTCAAACTTCATATCAACGAAAACCTTGTTTACAATGTTCGAAAAAATTAAACAAATGGAGCTGTATATTGGAACTTTGTCGGCAAACCTCTTCGATAGATTATTCGGTAAATCACTGCACGTAGTTTTTTTTTGAGCAGCTAGTCCGTGTGTTTATGGATTGTGGCAAGCAAGATTTTTAACTACCACAGGAGTAGACGGCCAACTATACTTGAAGATTCTAAATGTTTTTTTTGCATTAACGTAAAAGGAGAAATTTCGACCACGCAAACAGCAAGATGGTGCCCTTTAATTTTATGACTGTTTTTTGCAAATGCGGGCATTTAAAACAAATTCGTTTTTAAATTTTGCAAGTTCCGAGGACATAAGTTAATCCCTTTTGTTGTTTTACGAATAAGTAGTTTCACAACGGAAGTTAATAGTCATTCTTGGCAGCGTAAAATACCACACTGATACGTTTAATTGATTTGTCCTCGACCGCGTACGATGATATATTACGCGAGGAAAAAGGTTACACTAATAATATTATTATACGACACTAATAATATTAACTAATATGTGAATGTTAATTTTAAGGTAAACTCGAGGGCGAACCTTTCATTAAACTTCCACCTAGCTATCTAAAAGGTCGTGTTTTTGCAATTTTTGTTTTTTATCAAAATTGCAAATTATAATCGATCGAAATGCCCTGTATATTGTATATAGCACATAATTATGTTTGTAAACTGACTGTGTCTTTTCTTTGTTTTCAGATGTAATTAGTTTAGCGAGTAGTGGTAGAAAAAGCCTAAGCTATAGCACGTATAGTGACAAACGGCACAATTCTGTAGCTGCTGTCGGGAGTGAAAAGGGTGCTGGTAGTGTAGCTAGCGGAGGAAGTCTTATTGCTGGCGACGGCGGTGTAACCACGCATCTTTCACCTCAACAGCTGGGAGTTATGGGTGAGTGAGTTATGCATGCATCATACGTGTTTTATGTTTTGTTCGGAGTTTGGATTTGTACCAAATTTGTTTCTTAATGATAAACAACCGAATTTTCACCTCGGTAAAATGAGCTCCACGATCCACGTAAAGGTCGTTCGCTTTCATGATCTTAACTAGGTACTCCATGGGAGTAAGAAGGAAATGTAACGTGAAATGTGAATTCCTATATATACTATATTTCACTGAAATTGGGTTTTTGTATAATAACTTCCATAAATCAAGCGAGTTGTGCAAACTGGCAGTCAAATTAGATTTATTGAATGCGTAGATGAATTAGGGAAACCTCTCAAGCATAGGTAAAGGTCGAATAAAAAAATCGAACTTCGGCGTGGGTTAATATTTTCAACATTTTATGTAAATAGAGAAGAAACGATTAACGGTTCTTAATCATTACATATTAGATAATCCTTAAAAGTTATGTGTAGGCCGCGACCATTACCATTTAAGGCGAGGTATTTATACAAGACGAGGATCGTAATCGAAAACGAAAGACAAACGACATTGCATGTTACGCTTAAAGAAGCTGAACGAACGTTAAACTTGAGCAGACGCGCTCTTCAAATCTGAAGTGACTCATAAAAGTAAGATGGAGAATTCTGGGACTTTGAATGTGATGATGAGTCACTTCATTTTACGAAATGAGGAATTAAACTGCAATTTTCGTTCATAGTTTATAGTAATAGATCAATTGCAACAGTCTTCTCTGTGGGGCGAAAATATCGCGATTGTTTAAACTTAGATAAGAGCCATCGGGGGTTAATGTAGCACCGAGGAGTAAATGAAAATTATATTCATATACAACCGGGGGGTAGGGGGGGGGGGGGTTTTCTAATACTAGGGAATTTTCGCCGTAATTTTCATAATATCCCCAATGCTTACGTACAATACATTTTCATTCGGTTTAATGCGTATACAACCGTTTGAATGAGGATTTTAATTTTAAATACTTCATTGATACCTGATTTCAATTGATTTATTATTATTTTTTTTATTTATTATCCCTCTCGGTTCTGGGCACCTTCCGTTTTTTCTATTATAAGGTACTTTTACTATTTTCTTCATAATGCCCCCCCCCCCCCCCCCCCCTCTCCCCCCCCCATGTACCTACGTAGTTTCAGTTGTAATATGAATACTACACCTTTGATTTTCGTGTATGATACATTTATTGAAAGATTTGATGACATCGGCGTTTTCGTGTCGTGGATTTTGAAATATCCCCCCAGAGAGTGGGTACTTTTTTTGAAAATGTCACGAGAGCTCTCAGAGATACCTTACAGCATGGGGAACTAGCACAGAGTTGTCACGAAAATTCTAATTTTACGGAATCCCCCCACAATGTGCGTGGATTTCATTCGTAGGTGTGAGGAATACCACAGATTTTCATGTTCACTGTAAGAAAGGAGAAGCGGGGTTTTTTGTTCCGGGGGGGGGGGGTTCCATTTCATCCCCCCCAGACCCCCTAGCTCTGTCATTTTGAGTCATGAGTTTAAAAAGTGGTAGGTACTTTTTCAAAGTGGCGCGAGAGGCCTCAGGGTTAACGTACGTACTGCAGGGAAACGAAACACGGGGGGGGGGGGGCATTGAAAAATCTCCAGGGAAAGGAAATTCTATTAGNGGGGGGGGGGGGGCATTGAATAATCTCCAGTGAAAGGAAATTCTATTAGGGATTTTATGGGATAAAAAACTTGTCTTTCTCAACGTTTACACATTACTTTAATTAGCAATGAAATGCAAACTCGCGCAGTTTATCAATGAAATTCTATTAGTGATTTTTCGTATTTTCCCATGTTCCCTTCCAATGTACCTACGTAGATTTCATTCGTATGAATATACAACTGATTCCCTGAGGGTGTGGGGGTATGGAAACCCCCCACAAAAAGAAAATCCCTAGCGGGAAACTACTTTACATTTTTGGTGTACCCCCTCTGAATTAATGTGAATTAATTTCAATTAACGTGAAATAATTTGAATTAATTTGGAATAATTTGAATTAGGGTGAATTAATTTAAATTCATGTAAATTAATTTGAAATAATGTGAATTAATCTGAATTAACGTGAATTATGAGCCGATTTTGACCAGGGTTGGTGTAACTCATAAAAATCTCGGTCTCGATCTCGGTCAAGTTTGTGAATTTAATTTTAATTTAATATTTAGGCTATAACTTTTCCTAATGGTAATCGCTTATGGCTAAACGTTAAATCGTGAGGGGGGAGGGGGTTCCTGTCGAATGCTATGCAGTACGCACGTTTAGGATACTTGGAGTTCCGGAAATCCGAGACATGCGCACAGCCACATGGTGTCATTCGATTCGGCACGTCGACGTCGGGTCCATATACGTCTAGGAGACCCGGGATGCTATTTGACGAACCGTGCAGGAGTGTCGTCAAGGACTATCGAATAGCATCGATACCGCACGTCTAGGAGACGTCTAGGAACTTTAGAAAATTGGGGGGGGGGGGGTAACGCATACCTTCATGGTATTCTAATGAAAGGTCGCATCGAAATAAATTGGTTTGCACAAACTATCACTTTCCCGTGCGAGTCTTTTCAGAGATCAGTGCGAGACGGGGCAGGGGGGGGGGGGTTAAAAATTAATTTTATCTCATTGTATTCTAATTAAAGGTCTCAACGAAAGGAACCGTTTTCTACTAACTACTGCCCTTCTTTCTGTCCTCTTATCATCTTATCAAAGTGAGGGGCGGATGGGGAGGGGAAGGGAGTAGAACTAGTTTTATCCTTCATGGTACTCTAATGAAAGGTCTCAACGAAAGGAATTGATTTCTACCAACCATAGCCCTCCTCCTCGCCCTCGTAGCGTGATCGGGTATATTCCCTTGTACCTCAAGAACGGATTGTCGGAAGAGGGTACTCACAAAGGGCGATTGAGACGTCTGCAAGAAATATATCCATTGGTGATGTCAAAACAAAAGCTATTTCGGATAAAAAAAATGCGCTTTATCTGCACAAGCATAATTTATACTTGTTTTTGTTCCTTTCGTTCCTTCATCCGCATAGTAGTTTGCAGGTGAATTTCTTGTATATTACAAAATAGAAACATCCTTGCCGATGTTTTATGTATTATATGGGATATAAGGGATGAAGGAGAACGGGAGAAAGGAACCTCAAAACTGGTCGGAATTGTCTGTTAGACGCATTGTTCCGTTAGGAGTTACCGGTGATGGCACTGTTTTAGAGTGAGGTATACCTACGCCATTTTTGGGTAAATATCATTGCTTGTATTTATGTTAGTGTACTGTATCGAACTGGCTAATAAATCAAACGATTCTTCAAATAATATTGAACTTGGAACTTCTGTAGGTAATTATATGATAGATACAAACCGATTTATAAAACGACAATAATTACGTTAATATTAATGATATTTAAATTGGCAATTTGACATCTTTTAGTTGTTCTAGAAATTGCTGGGTTAAGATCTGTAATTCGTTATAAAAAGGAAAATTAATTGCGTCCTGGTAAACAGAAGACCGTAAACTTTTAAAGAGAATCAATACTTCTTAATGGTATTTATCTTAGTGTAACGCATCGAACCGAAGTAGGTAGGTACTTAGTAAATCGAAAGAGAAACTTGTAGCTTCTGTAATTATACAGTCGATCTTTACAGGGACAAATAGGTAAACTTTTACGTTAACTAATGATGCCTAATGTCTTTTACTTTAGCAACCTTGCGCAGGGTGTCAAATATATAAGGGTGATCGATGTCATAGTTGGGATTTGTCGGTTGACCATGGCGAGGGTGCTGTTAATATGGTTGCTTCCTTCAATTATCTTAAAGTGGGTGGTGTGCTCCGAAACCGCTCGAACGAACGTGACGCAAGTTTGCCTTAAACATGTGATTGAGGAAATGTTTGGGAAAGAAGAAACCATCCACTTTGTTGTTCCGGAAGATTTCGCGTACCAGTCGATCTACGAGGTTCCCAATCCCAGGATTATCGTTACGATCAATTCATCGGTACATGAAATTCCTTCAAATGCAGGAAGGAACTTTGTAATACACGCGGAAGATTGGTACTCTTTGGAACTTGCGTTAGAGTACCTGAATCACAGTAACGTTTGGAATGGTACTTGGTCTCCAATTGGTAAATTTATGTTATTCACTTACGAAAGAAACGCCTCGCTTTTGTTTCAAACTTTATGGCGTTACAAATTGGTTCGCTCAGTGGTAGTGCTTTCGGAGGAGCGCAATGTAGTTCCGAAATTGTACACATCAAACCCTTACATCGGAGGTAACCATTGCGGGGCAAACCCCACCAAATTTGACATTCAAAGCTGTGCAGTAACACCAAGGCTGAGGGACGCGATTAAACCAATTTTGACTTCATACGGATCGTGTGAGGTGGAGTACCAATTACGATCGGCGATAGACTTTGTTGTGCGTATTGAATGGCGTGAATATGCGGAGTTAGTTATTAACATTTTGAAGGAGAGGAGCAATGTGAGTATCGTAGGATATCCTCGTGCAACAACATTTCCATTAAATAACAGAATTCGTTTCTATGCGACAACGCGATGGCCATACAACTTCTCCCCTTACCAAGAGACGAGGGTGACGGTTACAGAAAATTTCGTATGGGTTGTACCTAAACCAGACCAAATTTCGCCCCTGAAAATATATTTTGTTGTTTTTAACTGCTCGGTGTGGATATTAATGATTTCCTGCCTGCTTTTGATTAGTGTAGTTTGGTGGGCTATGTTTGGTGCCTCCAGTAGTTTCTCGCGCTATTTGCTTAACGCATTTTCCATTACCTTATGGGGCAATTACCCGTCTGTACCGAACGTAACACCACTCAAGTTTCTGTTATTACTGTACATCGTCTACAGCATTCACATACAAACTGCATACGTGTCCCTTTTGTATAAACGTCTGACAATTCCCCAATACGCCAGAGGAATTGAATCTTTACCAGAACTTGCCGATTCCGGTTTAACCATTTA